AGACTGGTGTGTTTGGGTCGATGGTTTGAGTCATTTGGGATCCCTGCAACGGGTTGGGAACGGACCATATTTGGGTCTGAGAAAAGGCACTTTCAGCAGTAAAAATGGGCACTGTCGAAAATTAGGGGGGCGCCCCCCCCCCCCCCGGATCCGCCTCTGCGTTTTTCCTACTATTCCACGCCGAAAGAATAGCAACTTAAAAGTGGTCTATTTCAATCGGTCAAGAGCCACATCTCTGTCGGAAATAATAGGTAATCATTGACATGCAGTGAGATATTTTTGGGGTGGTAGACGTACTGTTATATTCTGGGCTGGGGTAATGTTAGTGAAATGTAACCATTACATTTTGTAAGTAATGGAAGATTTCATGTAATGGTCAATTACATTTCATTTACATTTTATGGCACATTTAAATATTTCAAATATAACTAGCCTCAAATTTTATAGCACCAAAAAAGTAAACTAAGTGTATCTGACACAAATCCAGTTCAGTAGGCCTATAATTTTTAAATAATAAAACAAATTTAAATCAGTTTTAACAAATTATAATAAGAATAAGAAGGCATTAAACATTTTCTTTTACAACTTTTTATGTACTTGTGAGACCCTTTTTTTAGTGGATTTCTGAAAAGATGTATAATGCAATCAAAGATTACTGTTATTTTGCAGGCAATCACCCTGGCAATCAATCAATCAGTTAGATTAAGACATTAATAGTCTTACTACACTTGGGGGGGGGGGTGGCCGAATGGTTAGCACGTGCGCGCTGTATCATGAAGCCTGTCATTGAGTCAACTGGCGTGGTTTCGAATCCCCAGTTATAGTTGTATGTACGTGACAAGGAGTGGGGTCGCCTGTCCAACCTCATGGAGTTTCTCTGGGTCCCTCGGTTTCCTCCCACTGCTAAAGACCCCTACACGCAAGCGAATTATTGAAATAAAATTAAAACCATATGTTAGTCCCGACATGACCTAGTGGACCTCTCTCTCTCTCTCCACTGTAATCATAATCACAATTTAACTAGTTACAAACCAAACAATAGCTTTCAAGTATCTCATCATTTTATGGTAACCTAATATAAAATAAATACGTATATTATAGACAAACAATTTGGATTGATTAAGAATTGTATAAAATTACTTTTAAAAAAATACAGTTAACTCGTGTATACTTTCAGTTCATTTTTCAAGTCATACAGTGAAAACATCAGTTTTTGTCAGCACTGCACATCACTTGAAACTTTGCCTTGTTGTTATAATATATAGAAATAACAGTTTATACACAAATATCTATTATCGTAAATCAAGGATTATTTTGACTTTGGTATTTGTAGGGGCTTCATTGGAGAAAAATACGGTTGTCCTTTGATTTTCTATAAAAAATGTTTTGGTTTTTTTTATTGATATACTCATACAGGGGCGGAAGGGCCGGTCAGACAAAAAATGAAAAAAATAATTTTGTCCAATTCGTCTATAATTTTCTGCTGAACATTATATGGGGGGGGGGGGTATTGGACCGGCCATGGAGCGAAAATGTCGAGGGTAAAGCAATTCTCATAATTAAATTTGTGTGGACTTATACTCGAATATTCATTATCTGAACTAATGCTATGTTCATTAATCAATATGTAGTGTGTCAAATGTTCAAGTTCGGAGTCAAAGTAAAATAATTTACCTGGAACAACAAATCCAAAATTCAAAAAGCAGCTTTCATGAATTTCAGTTTCGTGATTATAATCAGATATGCCACCAAATCGCATATTTGGGGTTCATTTTTCAATATATTCCAAGGGGGAAACTGGCCCCAATCCGCCCCTGTACTCATAAAGTAATGGGTAATGCTAAAATGAGAAAGTAATTGTAATGACTACATTTAAAGATAGGTTGCCAGGCAACAAAACATACGCCCAAAGCAGCTAAATCGTCCGAGCAGTCGACACGGGTTGTCACATATTTATTCTTTTGTAGGTAATTAGGGGAATTTAATAAGACAATTCCATACAGATGGCATAATTTTCGTCGTTTGACGGTTCACAAGGTTCTAAAAACTAAAACAAGGGCCGTAACTCTGGCAGTAATCTACAGAAATTGTTGAAATTCAACAGGCTTTTTCGTTTTACTAGTTCAAATAATGCATATAAATTTCATACAGACAGATCAGATGATAACTTTTGTTGTTCGAACGTTCACAAGGTTCAACAAAGTAAAACAAGTGCCATATTCAATAGGCTTCTTCATGTAAATGATGCATATGAATTTCATACGGATTAAGTGATAACTATGGTCGTTCAAGCGTTCACAAGATTCAACAAAGTTAAACAAGGGCCATAACTCTAGATGTAATTAACGGAAATTTGCTGAAACTCAATAGGCTTGTTCGTTTTACTAATTTAAACGATACATATAAATTTCATACCGATCGGATAATAACTTTTGTCGTTAGAGCATTCACAAGGTACAACAAAGTGAAACAAGGGCCATAACTCACACCGTAATAAACAGAAATTGCTGAAATTGCATAGGCTTCTTCGTTGCACTAATTTAAATGATGGATATCAATTTCAAACAGATCGGATGATAACTGTTGTAATTAGAGTGTTCACAAGATTCAATAAAGTGAAACAAGTGCCATAACTCTAGATGTAATTAACGGAAATTGATGAAATTCAATAGGATTCTTTGTTTTACTAATTTAAATGATGCATATAAATTTCATACAGGTTGGATAATAACTTTTGTCTTTGAGCATTCACAAGGTACAACAAAGTGAAACAAAGGTCATAACTCACGGCGTAATTAACGGACATTGCTGAAATTCAATAGGCGTCTTCATTTCACTAATTTAAATGATTCATATCAATTTCAAACAGATTGGAGGATAACTGTTGTCATTAGAGCGTTCACAAGATTCAACAAAGTGAAACAAGGGCCATAACTCTAGATGTAATTAACGAAAATTGCTGAAATTCAATAGGCTTCTTTGTTTTACTAATTTAAATGATGCATATAAATTTCATACAGATCGGTTGATAACTTTTGTCGTTAGAGCGTTCACATGGTGCAACAAAGTGAAACAAGGGCCATAACTACTGAAGTTATTGAAATAAAATAGGCTTCTTCATCTCACTAATGTAAACAACATACATGTATATCAATTTCAAAACAATTGAATTTTCAGATATCCTCTCATCATCTCATATAACAACTTTTCATCTTCAACTGAATTATAATTGAAATGAAATTCGATCGTTTGTCTGTTACCGCTCGTTACTTCAGTCTTTTATATAGAAGGACAACTCGTGTTTGTCATGTTTGACGTCACTTCCCGTTTCTTCACGTACTTGTTACTCAGCTATCGTAGCAATGATCTCTTGTGTTAAAATTATACTATTCAAAAAAAGTAGGGGATATTTGATTTTTAAGTGTTATTAAAGTCACCTAATGAAACTGACGAAGAAACAAATGACAAAATGAAATGAAGTTCACATTCATCGATTTATTCCAAATGATCGTTAGACTAAGTAAGGCACAGACTGACCATTATAAGGGTAAAATGATACCCGGGGTCAAACAGCAAAGTTACCACAGCATCACAACCAAGTCAGTAACGGGTAAATCCTCCTCTGTTTGCCAAACAAGCATTGATCCGACGTGGCATACTCCTAATGAGACGTCTAAGGTCATTTTGGTCCAGATTGTCCCATTCCTGTTGCAACGCAGCAGCAAGTTCTTGGACATTGGCAGGACGTTGTTGATGTTGACGTTACCTCTGTCCAAGCATGTCCCAGACATGCTCGATGGGGGAGAGGTCGGGACTCAGTGCTGGCCAAGGTAATGTGGTGATGTTCTGTTGTTGGAGGTAACCTGTAACGATCCTGGCCCTGTGACATCTTGCGTTGTCATCCTGGAAGATGAAACGGCGGCCATGACGTCGTGCGAACGGCACAACATGGACTGCCAAGATGTTGTCCCGGTAGTACTGGCCTGTAACACGCCCTGCAACAACATGTAAAGCCGTTCTTCCAGCAACAGTGATGCCTCCCCACACCATAACAGAACCACCCCCAAATCGATCATGTCTGATGACGTTAACGTCTTGGAAGCGCTCGTTTCGACGACGCCACACCCTCCTACGTCTGTCCAAAAAATCAACAGTGAACCTTGACTCATCTGAAAACATCACATTGCTCCAGCGTTGATTATCCCAGTGTTGACGATCCCTACACCAACCACGTCTTGCCTGAATGTGATGATCTCTCAAACAAGGGATCACGCGAGGACGTCGGGCGCGAAGGTGACCCCTATGCAGTCGATTCCGAATCGTCTGGCCACTCACTCTCACACCAGTGTCTGTTTGAAGACGAGCGCTGATCTGATTTGCTGTGATGACACGATTTCGCAAGGCCAAGGTACGGATAAATCGATCCTGGGCTTGAGTTGTCGCCCTTGGTCGACCTGAGCGTGGTCTGTCCTGTACAGATTGTGTATCACGGTATCTGGACCATAGCCTGCTTATGACAGACTGAGAAACAGTCATCGTCCGCGCCACAACCGCCTGTGTTGTGCCGATCTGTAGCATGCCAAGGGCACGTAACCTTTCATTTTGGGTAAGCCGACGCATATCAAAATTTGTTTTCTGGTCACTAAAACAATTAAACTGATGTTTCCACCCTGGAATTCAATGCCACAATGACTGTAACATTCAAAGTCAGAGTCGTGCAAATCTTGGGTTGGACCCCCATGATGATCCCAAGCATCACCTGCATTCCATGCGGTAGCTATTGGTGCGTTTGGGCGTCACATGTAACTGGAAATGTTTCTTCTGTTAGGTTCTATAGTGACTTTTTTCGTAGTCATTTGCATATTTTAGTATTATGCCCCCAAAATCAAATATCCCCTACTTTTTTTGAATAGTATATATTTGGGATGTATTTAACAGGCTCTATAACACATTTTATAATGACTGACACCAATATTGTCCTTTAAGTCACAACAAAACCATTTGTTTGGGACAACTTTAATTCAACATCAAACGATAAATATGACGAAACTCTTAATGATAATGAATAGACAACATTACAAGCAGAAAATGAATTGGAGTGATGGTTAAAATTTCACTACATGATTTAAATAATTTTAATGACCATGTTTCCAAATAGAGATCACAACTCCACCAATAATAATTGTTTTTGAAGTGTAAATTAGGTGTATTGCTGTAGATCTTACAAATTTTTCTTCTACTTCTATCTTTGCCATCAGTCTTATTTTCAAGATCTGACACTGTCATTGTTATTAGCATAGTTAGGATATACCCCATTTATTACTTATTTCGGATAAAATTCATTCATTGTTAAGCAGTGTTGTGTGGTGAAAAATTGTTCCCAAAAACAGTGTAATATAACAACTTTTGTGTCCAGTAGTACTGCAATGAGGAGCCACGGTGGCTCAGTGGGTAAGACGTTGACTTGTTAATCTGTAGGTCCCATGTTCAATCCCTGCATTGGCCAAGAAAGTTCATCAAGATTTCCTGGCGCGGTTTCTCCTTGTCTGTGATGCAGGACCAAGCGCCTGGCAAGGGCCAACATAGTTGTTTGGATGGGACAAAAAAAAAAAACAAAAAAAAAAAAAACGTCCTATGTACACATTGGCATACATGTTAAAGATCCCCTGGCAGTTGGAATTTGATATAAGAGTAGACCATAGTGACACCACTGTACGGTGTCCGTGCAAAATTTCCCGGACAACAGCACACTGTAAGATATATGCCCATCTTCATTAGCCCAGTCGGAGCAGAACAGTAGGACTTAATTCCCATTTCATTTCAGTACTGCAAGGGCTAAATTATTAATATAATTTTTACCCAAAGATCCATGTATATTAAAATAATAATGAATCAAATAGGGTTTAACCTTCTACTTTTCAGCACAAACCTGGCTAATGAAGACGGGCATACACCATACATTGCCCCACCAGGGAGCTTTTGCTTGGATAGCAATTGAATTCCAACTGTCAAGGGTTCTTTTACACTCAAGTGTAAACTGGACCCTTGGTTTTTTAATCAGATCCAAACAACTAGACGCTGTTTCTTACCATGACCTGTCCTACACCACTGACAACACCTGGATCAAAACCGCGACCTCCTGGTTAGTGAACCAGCACCTTACTCACTTAGCAAGAAATGTTATATTTAAATATAATCAATGACTTTCAAATATTGTATATTCAAAAATATAAAATATATCTGATGGCTAGAATGATAGGAAATTTACAGATTTAAAAAAAACTAATGTGAGATTTTATTGATGTAGAATTTGAGAAAAGGGCAAGAAAATATGTTAATTCACCACAACAGCAATTAAAGCGCACAGCTTCCATTGAGCAGTATTTTATAATCACCTATTATCTGAGAACATACAATAAATGACATAATTAATGACATAATAAAGGTAAAGATAATAACATATCAACCGGTTTTTTTTTTCATGAAGGAAGTGTGATATATCAAAGCCTCTGTTACCGGTTGCTTATCTTCATTTTCTTCTAAACATTAAAGGAGAGACCCCAGATTTCTGTAAATACTAGTTAAATATTAATGCAAATTGAATGCTGAAGATTATAATACTGTTGTCAATTTAGAAACTTGTCAACATTCATACAAGAAAATTTACAGTATGAATTTCTTTAACAAATATGAATGTACTATCTATATAAACAACAAACCAAGTATGACGTCATCTTGCATTTGTGACGTCATATAAAAATCGAAGTCCATCAATCCATGTGCAACTCTCAAAAGAACAAGCATGTCAAGTATCATGTTAATCTTACTTGAATTATTTATTTTTTTATTTATTTTTTAAAGAGCTTGAACCCAATAACAAGATGATTAATAATAAGTGTATGCAACCAGTTATTGGTTCAATATGGTTTCATAGAGCTTCAGATACTTGGAGAGAACTTTGATTTTACACAGAATTATATCAAAAAATCTGGCACGACTCCTTTAAGTTTAGTAATGTTATCTAGCATCTGAATGCCTAACACTTCTGGTAAGAGTAGCCCCAGTTTAATCACATTCAAGCACTGTGTATTCAAAAGACGATTTCATATTAGAGAAATTTAGTTCATGGTATACACCTATCATCATAACACGCAAGTGCCTCTTGTACTCATCTGGTACTTTAAACATGGTGCCATGACCTGGTACAATGTAATCCGCATATTTTAACATCTGGATTCGACTTTCTTCCTGCATTTCACAATTTTCACTATTTTCTTGCCATATTTCTGGGTTCTCCAGATCCTCTTCACATTCAAATAAGTCCCCTGAAAAATTAACGAAAATCAGCTTAAGGGCTAATATAGATTTTCAGACCATACACAATCTGAACCAGCGGCTGCCAGGCAGGATACTGCCCACATTTTGCATGAGGTTGATAGAGAACAAGCTAAGAACAAACGTGATTTGTTGTATAATCAGGGGCAATAATCCAGAAAGTTATGGCCTGAAATGTGCAAATATCAAAAGGGACAGAGATATTTGTGATATAAAGATATGTTTTAAGTTTCATCAAAATCAGATAAAAATTGTGACCTCAAGTGGGTCCACAACCATCGCATTACACACTTCTACACAATTTGCGTACAAAGAGCGACCATTTTGTCGGGCAGTTTCATTTCGATTTTCCCGAAATACGAAGTCAACCTTCATTATGGAGTAATGGTGATGTATTTAAAACGTTTTTTAAAATTGGAAAAAAGAGAATCCGCAAGTTAAAAATGCGATTTTTTGAACAAACATAATCCAGGAAGTTAAGTTCGGGTATCCACGATTATTAAAAGGAACCAAGATCTTAGTGTGTAATGGTGATATATTCACACCTTTTTTTTTTAAATCGGATAAAAATTGTGACCTCTACAGGGACTACAAGCTAAACACATGATTTTTTGTTCAATCAAGGGCCATAATTCAGGAAGTTACGATCCGATATGCGCGAATATCGAAAGGAACCAATATCTTTGGGTTATAAACATGCATTTCAAGTTTTACCTTTAGAGGGACCACAAGCTAAAAACTTCATTTTGCATACAGAGGCCATAATTCAGGAAGTTACGGTCCGATATGTGCGAATAATGAAAGGGACCGAGATATATTCGAATGTGTTTTTTAAATCAAATAAAAATTGTGACCTCTAGAGGGACCACAAGCTAAAAACGTGATTTTGCGTACAATCAGGCCATAATTCAGGAAGTTACGGTCCGATATGCGCGAATAATGATCTTTGGTTTATAAACATGCATTTCAAGTTTCATCAAAATCAGATGAAAATTGTGACCTCCAGAGGGTCCACAACCCTGATACACAATATTGTGACACTATTTGCGAACGAGGGGCAGCCATTTTGTCCGTCAGTTTCAGTCCCATTTTAACGAAATTCGAACTCAACCATCCTTAGGGTGTAACATTGATATATTGTTTCATTTTTTTTAAATCAGATAAAAATTGTGACCTCTATGGGGTCCACAAGCTAAACACACGATTTTTCCTACAATCAGGGGCCATAATTCAGGAAGTTATGGTCCGATATGCGAAAATATAGAAAGGAACCGGGATGTGTGGGTTATAAACATGCATTTCAAGTTTCATCAAAATCAGATGAAAATTGTGACCGCCAGAGGGTCCAGAACTCTGTAACAATATTTTGACACTATTTATGAACGCGGGGCGGCCATTTTGTCTGTCAGTTTCGGTCCGATTTTTACGATTATTCGAATTCAACCATCCTTAGGGTGTATGGTGATATATTGTAACGTTTTTTTTTTTAAATCGGATAAAAATTGTGACCTCTATGGGGTCCACAAGCTAAAAACGTGATTTTTCGTACAATCAGGGGCCGTAATTCAGGAAGTTATGGTCCGATCTGCACGAATATCGAAAGGAACCGAGATCTGTGGATTATAAACATACATTTCAAGTTTAAACCAAATCAGATAAAAATTGTGACCTCTACAGTGTTCACAAGCCAAAAATGTGATTTTCGCACAATCAGGGGCCATAATCCATGAAGTTACAGTCCGATACATGCCAATATCGAATGGAACCGAGATCTTAGGGAGATAAACCTATATTTCAAGTTTCGTTGAAATCATATAAAAATTGTGATCTGTATAATGGTCACAAACAATTGTGGAAGGACGGACAGGGGCGACGACTATATACGTCCACAAGAAAATGTGGGCGTATAAAAAGTATACTGGTCTAGAAATTTTTTTAAAAAAAATAATCATTCCTAAAGTAGGTCTAAATTACTTTCTATTGATTTTTGTTTTAATCATCTTAACTATTCATTCTAATTTTTGTTAAATCTACGTAAGTTAAACGTACATTATGCAAGAGCTAAATCTGTCTATTGCAGGTCTTTCTTTAGGCCTGAAATGTTATCTAAATTATTGATTAGACATTATTTAACCTATCCAGACCTTAATCAAATTTAGGTGATTATGCTAGTCTGCGGTCTTTAGTGGATTATGAGCCGATTTACTGCATAACTTTCCTTCACGATTTAATGATTAAATGGATAATCAAGACTATGCTGTTTAACGTACTGACTTTAGTAATGATGATCGAGACTAGCTGGAAATTTCAACCACTTAGTTCTCGGTTCATAGTGGATCAATTTGAATGAAATTTTCAGCAAATTGCCTTTACATTATCTAGGTTTTAACTATTATAGTGAGAACTGCCAATTCGTTATCGAATCTCCCATAATGTATCTTTAAACCACATTTTGAATTTCACAGTGATCGATTAGGGAAGCAAGAGACTTAACTATGGTGTCTTATTTGCTTGTCTTGTCTCACCCTAAGGTTTGGCTTAATTTTACAAAAAACCTAAATTAAGATATATTTTATTATAGGCTTGATGCATAATTTGCATTTTCAATAAAATATAAAATAATGTCCCAAGTTGTTATGAACTGTGTTTAAAATACAAGCAAACATTTTGTTTTTTCAATAGATAATTACTGTAGGTGTTGGAATATTTATAGTTTTAAACAAATACCTGTAACTAATTCAAACATAATACCTGCACATTACTATGTTTTATGGTTTGTAACTAATACTATGTTTTCTAATTTTTAACTAATTTTATAGTTTTAAACTAATACTGGTATTATATCAACTCACCAGATACTAAAACATTACCATGTTTTAATGTTTTCACTAATACTGATACATCTGCTCCAGTATGTCCTGGTGTAGCAACAACTTCTACAAAATCATCGATTTCATATGGTATTCCCTGAAAATAAACCAAATTATCAATACCATAGCTATACAAGTAGAATGCAACAATTTCTTGAACATTTATACATTACTCAGTATAGTCAAAGACTGGAATTTTGTAGAAATAAATGTGAAGCATCATCTCCTCAAGAAAGATTGAGAGAGACAGAGAGATGAAACAAATACGGTTTAACGTCCCCACTCAACACAAACTAGGCCATCTCGGGACTAATATACAGGGTCTTTAACTGTGGGAGGAAACCAGAGAAAAACCAATGAGGTTGGACAGGTGACACAACACCTTGTCACATACGAGCATACAACCAGGGAATCGAAACCACACCACTTAACTCAATGACAGACCTTATGATCTAACGTGCACATGTTGAACCATTTGGCCACCCAACCCCCCTCAACTGGCAGAAGGTAACTGTAGAACAATCTTTTATACACAATGTCCTGTAACCTCAAACCTTGTATAATTCATTTTTTAGTATATTGCATACCATCTATGTCAGGTGCCATAGATCACAAATTAGTTATTCCTACAAAATAAATGTTCAAAACAGGAGTTAAAATTTTGCAAGAAACTTCCACAAAACAATACTATCATTGAGCACATGTGACTAAAGGATAGACGATAACAGTCCTCAACAATGCACATGTTGGAATTGACCTTGTGTACACAGCATATGTACACTGTGTCTGCATAACTTTGGCTAGTAATAATGCAGGGATCTTAATCGGCTGATTATAGTCAGCTGATTGATAAACAATAAACCGGCCACTATGGTATTCTAAATCAATCTACTTTTGACCCAATAACAAAGAGTTAATTGTTGATTAATAAATCAATCAAAAAAAATGAACCTACATGTACTGAAAACTTAATATAGTGATGCAGGTGAAGAAAGCAGGAGACTATTAAAATGGGTTCGTCCGTCTGTCTGTATGTCTGTTCGTCACACTTTTTGGGACACAATAACTGTCTTTCTAATTTAGCTAGAATGTTCAAAGTTGGTATAGGTCTTTATTAGTTCAATGCCTTGATGGAGTTTGAAGATGAGCATTTTCTGCTTAGGGTAAGCAGAGATAAGCAATTTGATTGGTTAATGCTTTGGGACACAATAACTTTAGTTCTAATTAAGTGAGAGTGATGAAACTTGGTGTATAGTTTTATTAAATCAATACCTTGACTAAGTTTGATAATGAGCATTTTCTGCTCAGGGTAAGCAGAGCGATAAGCAATTTGATTGGTCGATTCTTTGGAACACATAACTCTCATTCTAATTGAGTTAGAATTTTCACACTTGGCGAAGATGTCTATTAGGTAAATGCCTTGATGGAGTTCGAAGATGAGCATATTCTGCTTAGGGTAAGCAGAGATAAGCAATTTGATTGGTTGACGCTTTGAGACACGATAACTTTAATTCTAATTAAGTGAGAGTGATGAAACTTGGTGTATAGTTTTATTACAGCAATACCTTGACCAAGTTCGATAATGAGCATTTTCTGCTCAGGGTAAGCAGAGCGATAAGCAATTTGATTGGTCGTTTCTTTGGAACACAATAACTCTCATTCTAATTGAGTTAGAATTTTCACACTTGGCGTAGATGTCTATAAGTTAAATGCCTTGATGGAGTTTGAAAATGAGCATTTTCTGCTTAGGGTAAGCAGAGATAAGCTATCTGACTGGTTGATGCTTTGGGGCATGATAACTTTGGTTATAATGAAACGAGAGCAATGAAACTCTGAAAATAGATTCATTATAATATTACCTTGACTAAGTTCGATGGTGAGAATTTTCTGCTTAGGATAAGGAGAGATAAGCAATTTGTTTGGTCAAGAGTTTGGAACATAATAACTGTGCTTTTAATTGAGCTAATTTATTTCATTGGTCGATGTTTTGGGACAAGATAATCTTGATTCTGATAGAGAGTGATGAAACTTAGTGCATAGTTTGATAGCTCGATACTTTTGAAAAAAATAAATGTGCGATTAATTAATATGTGTCATCTTTTATTTTGGGATTTCGGCGGGGGACATCAGCCTCACTATCGGCTTGTTATTTTAGGCCTAAAAGGCAAAAATATTATTAATGCCTTTTTTATTTATGTGAACATATAATGCTGCATTGTGTGAATGACTGTAGATTTTAAAAATGTCTTGAGGACAAGAAAAATAAAAACATGACGAACTGAGCTAATTAAAAAATACATTCTACTTACAGATTTGAAATCATGTATCACATAATTATCACCAATACAGATATCATAGGATACGATATGTACAGCCTCTTGAAACAAATTCAGATTTCCTACATGATCAACATGGCCATGAGTACACACCACATAACTTATATTCTCAGGTGTCAAACCATTTGCTTTTAATGCTAAAACAAAAAGATAAATAATGTATTTTGTCTGTTTTTAAATAATTTGATAATATTAAAATTGTCCCCACCCCCACTCTGATTTTGTTTGAAACTAAACACCGAGTTCATTGGATTGTCTATGTTGGTTTGTTTGGTGAATTTTTTTTTTTTTTTTTTTGTCTTATTCATGACAGATCTAAAAATGAAATGAAATGGGGTTTAATGTCCTTATGTTCTGCTCCGATTGGGCTAATGAAGACCGGAGATAGAGATAGATAGAATAGTCCATTATGTGACGTTGTCAACATAATCACATTCTCTCAAATTGTAGACATTGGACCCCCCTCCCACCCCATCTCGAAAATGCCCAATTACCCCTTAAATTGCCTATCATCACCCAGATTCGGAATCTAGTAAAAAAAAAAGATAAGATAAACACCATATTCAGTCAGCATGTAAATTATACATTATGCATGAAAAATACATAAAAACTGGATGAAAAAATACATAAAAACTGGATGAGATATATAACCACATTAAAGTCTGCAAAATATCATATTCCTAAAGCAATGGCCCGAGAAATCCCTCTCTGGTCATTGCTGGAATGGCCTCTGATACTTGAGCTTTTGAAGGAGTGTGTCTATTCCTCCCATTCATCAAATCTATCCCAAGTACAGCAACAGCCCTTCGTTTAATCTGGAGTCTTCCGTAAAACTTTGGACAGTGATTTAAGGCATTAAAAACGGTGAAAGTATTGTTCGTCTCCAAACAGTATTGTTTACATTGTATCCGTTTAGATAGCCTTGATTGTCACGCAATTAGTTTTTCTGCAATATTCTGCTATGCACTGGTTAATTGGGCCTAATAAAATCATGAGTCATGATGTAACGTTATGTATGTAAACATATTTGGTCCAATTTGGAGCTCTGTTTAAAGCATAATGATATTATTACGCAGTTAGCTATTGGTTGTTAATCGAACTATTGACCAGTCATAATTTGGAACAGAAATTCGCTTCCATTACAGCACTGTTGAGTGGGATTAGCTCTAATCAAACGGAACACTGCGAAGAGTATGGTAAAATATCTATTTTCTGTCATACATTTCTACTTACAGTCAGCAATTCAAATTTAATGTACCATCAAACTTGATTGGCAAGTAGGCCTACAACCAAAATGTGCAATTGGGCTGTTTTTACCTGTTAATATTTTGTCTTTATCTCTTGGGCTACCGGTATCTACTATTATGTTGTGTCGTCCTTTAAGTAGAGTAACACTTCCATCAGCTCTCTGACAGCCTAAAACAATCAAATTAAAATGTTCAAGTTTCGCTTTTAAATATTTTGATGGGCTCTTTATAAATTAACTGAATCAAATACAGGAGATTATAACCTATTGTTCATAATAAAATTCCGAATTTGTTTTCTTAATTTAATGCTAAATAATCAATTTAAGTATATTTTATTTTAGCATGGATTAAGTCATGGAAAAATTGAAATTTTCTGAAAATTATTATTCATATTCTTTGAAAAAATGTTTTTCCAATCTGAAATGCACAAAATGCACAATAATGACAGAAAGCATTGCTTTATTGTTTTCTCTGTGGTTACTATGAACAATCAATTAGCTTTAAACAACCATGTTTTCAAATTTCAAAATAATACCTGCTAATCAAGCACTTTCACTATTGTCACGAGACAATAGGTCTTTCCAAGCTACATGTAAAGGCAGCATACTATATTTATACTTACCTTTTCCCCTGTCAAGATTGTATCCTTCTTTCAAGACAATAACTTCATACATTACTGCAGTTCTACCGACTAAACATCAACTGAAAATAATGTCAACAAGCAGTTAGACTTTAAATTTAATTTCATGGCATGACAAACACTGATCAGAACTTTAAGTTCATATATTATCATATTAACACAACACAATTTGAAAATAAGCTAACAGAACATTAATTAGCCATAAACTATAAACTAAAGCAGTTAATCGTGATTTAGAGACTGAGGAATCCCTTGCAAACTACAATATATATTGAACCCAATCTCTAAGTAAAAGAAATCAAAAATGGTTCAATTCCATTATCAATATTTATCAAGGATATGATATGATGATTTGAGAATTTGTCAACATTTGTCCACAGCAGACGATGCATGAATAGGATATTGCATGGACCTTTATAAGGTCCATGTATATAGTCAACACAAGAAGCCAATTAAAGTTACAATTTCATATTTTTAAGTTATATTTTTAAAATGTATTAAAATAAAGCCCTAAAATAGATGGTACCTATAAACAGTCCTACCTTGTTAAAGAATAATCCTATTAATCCTATAATTCACTATATTGCCAGTTGAGAAATTGGCAAAAATATCATTTTCAACTTCAAATTCAAGCGTTTGAAGATAGCTATTCCATGGTGGGGAATAGGAGAACAAGGGAGGTAATTGGGCGGTAATTGTGTTATTAGTTCCAGTGTGAAGATTTTGAAGTGTGAGAAAGATAACCTATGATCATATAATTGAAAGATAACCTATGATCATATAATTGTGAGTTGACAACCTATTGAGCAAAAGACATAGAAATAATTATATTTTGACTTTCTTAGAAAATATGAAATTGTAACTTTAAGTTTAGGCAGTGTATATTTTCCCGTCTGACGGTTCTTTTACTTTTTACTCATCACTTCCGTTTGACATGTGCAGTTGTCTGATTCCTGGACTTAGCAGGATTCCTGGACTTAGCAGTTTTCGCTGAGGCAATGATTTCAACTCCCCTTCTGACATTAACCCAACCCACCAGACAGTTCTATTCATCCTTTGTCTAACATAGGCCATAACTCCTTTCTCCGTTTCTTATAAGGAAGCAAATAGCCATACTTGCATTTCTGATGGTAGAAACTGGAGAATTATTTTTAAAAGAAAATAAGATAATAAATGTAAATTGTAGAAAAGCATTTAGAATATTATTCTATTTTGGTCGAGGGCGCATTTCTGCGGATTTTGGTTTTTAATTTAAGTACTTAGACTGTCAGTGGTTTATGTTTTTCCCGTAAAATCGTGCTTCTGTGCCGAACTTGAAAGACGAGTTGTTTTTAATGTTCCAAAATGGTGGAATATATCAGGAATCGGACAACTGCGCATGTCGAACGGAAGTACGGCTAAATAGTAAATAAAGTAAAGAACCGTCGGACGGCAAAATATACACTTCGTTAAGTTTGTTATGTCATGATTTTTGCAGCAATCTTTGATGGTCCTCTTTTAATCCAAGCCGTGACATTGTATCCCATTTTTGATTTTGTACTATGCTCATTTTCTCAAGTTGCAATTACTTGCAATAGACTTAGGGATCTTTAGCAGTGGGGGGAAACCGGAGGACCCGGAGAAAACCCTACTCCTTGCCACATTCAACTGCACTGGGACAATTTGTGCTAATGATAATGATAATAATGATAATAAAGACATTGCCTGTATTAATATAATATTTGTGATGATATTGATAGCCTAGCTTATACATAGTTATAGTATAAATCTTTGTATACATTTTACCTCCTTGTTAAGACGTTGTTTTCCGTGTCGCCGCGGCTTCCCCTGGCTGTCACTCAGTCAGTCTGTACAGTCACAGTCTTGATTAGTATTATTAATCAGTCTGGTTCGTTTCTTATTTTCAAAAATGTATTGTTCTAAAACTTGGCTGGTTTTGTTTTGTTAGTCAGACTCTCTGCATATTCCTGTTACTCATGCAGTAAATACAAGTATACTCCGGTAACGAATGCATACAAATCCCAAAACAAGAAGCAATTTATTTTATAATGCTTAATCAGAATCAAGATTACTCCAGAAACATCTTTGCATTAGATTATCCAGCCTCAAATCGAGGACCAATCGAATTTCACCGAATAGCTTTAGAAGAAATAAAACCCGAAAAGCCACGAATGTCCGAGAATTTTCGTTGACATTCGTCTTCGATAACTTGTCTAAAAAGGTGCATGTATTGTTTAGATTGTATTAAATTTTTGACCTATGTCCGCAAGATTTGCTTTAATCATTTATCTTAGATATTTCCCAGCGTTAAATATACGAGTGGTGGTGTGTGTATCTCGTATCTGGTGTGATTTATCTGTACGACTGGATGATAAAGAAAATAAAATGCATCTTGGCCATGTGACTGTCACGTGGTTTTTGTTTACAGTATGGTACAGGTGGAAGTGGAAGTGGGAACACTCGTCTAGCTTAACTTTTTTCATACTTTCATCATACTACATGTGTTGGTACTTGGTAGAAACAGTAACATAATTATCTTAAGAGATTTATGATAGGTTTTAAGATATTTGTGTATGTGATCTTGACTAACCACAGATAGCACAATGGTTAACAGGCGTCTGAGAGCCATATTGGTGATTTGCGGTGGAGTATGCATCCATTTAACATTGGGCACTATCTACACGTTCGGTAAGTAAGAAAATTATACAAGAGCAATAAATATCTTTTTTAAGCTTCAGCCCCACCACACCCCCTAATCATTTGAGAATATGTGTTTATTAGTTTTAAAGTAGCTAAGTCTCTAACTCAATATTATCCCAAGTCTGATACGTTGAAAACACGAATTATTTGTCAATTCAAATCAACATTGATGTTGTAATCTTACTGGGAAAAGGTATAGGCTTCTTATATTCAATATTTAAGACAAAATAAATATTTTACCATTCGTGTACCATAGTGCGTTTTAGCGTCATTTGTAACAAGTGACCAGAAAGAACGAGGCTAGACATATTCAACAACTCATGTCAAATGCGTGGTGACGCCATATCTTATCTGGAGAGCATCCGCAATAGACTGGAATAACAAGACGCTAGAAATTGGCATTCAGTTGAGACTTATGCCGTATTTTGCTGGACATAACTGATTTGAAATTAGAGTCAAAACGGAAACAATTGAATGTAAATAAGTTTATATACAATCAGATTACATTATTATATGCGTTGCAACCCATTTGGGTCAATTTCTAGGTCCCAGATATTAGCGATTTAGCCCCTTTAAAACTGCCCGTGGTACCCACTGCTACACGGGCAGTGAGAGCTACATGCTATCATGCACATCTCCTCCTCATCCGCCTCCTATGAATTTCTGACAATCATGTTTGATCCGACTCCCTTTTCTATTTCCATCACTTTTACATTTTATGATTAGGGTTAGGGTCAGGTATTTAAGATTAAAACCTATAAATTCAGGGTTAGGGGTTTAAGATTAAAACCAATGAGTAAGACAAAATCTTCAACAGCAATGAAATATTGAGACACAAAAATTGGAGTCACATCAAACATGAATGCCGAATTTCTTTCCGTCGAACGTGAAGGATAAATAGGAAGTACTCCAAAGAGATCCCGACGAATTATCGTATATTATAGTTAGCCCCGGAACCTACATGTACGTTCGTATTCGCCAATACACTGTACCTCAATTAACTCGCCCTTTAAATATGAAATATGAAAATATCACTCTCCCCCACCTCTGTTCTAAGGCTTTTTTGGAATCCTTACCTTTTTTCTTTGAAGGAAATCATTTATCACCGTATCTGAAAACAAATTTATACTAATGTTTGTGACTGTCGTTTGTCTGTTTGTGGGAGCCACGGTGGCTACGTGTAGGTGGGTAAGGCGCTGGCTCGGTAGCCTGGAGGTCGGGTGTTCGATCCCTGCATTGGCCGAGAAAGTTCATCCCGATTTTCCGACGTGGTTTCCCCTCGTCAGTGATGCAGGACGGAGGGCCTGACAAGGACAGCTGTGTAGTCCTTTGGACGAAAAACCGAGGTCCCGTGTAAACATTGGATTGCACGTTGGAATTCGATATAAGAGTAGGCGATAGTGCCGCTGCCCGGGCAAAATTTCCCTCATAGCACACTGTATGGCATATGCCCGTCTTCATTAGCCCAGTATAGGAGCAGAACAGTAGGACGTTAAACCCCATTTCATTTCATTTGTCTGTTTGTTTGTCTGTCTCTTGGCAGCTATACTAGGGCTGTCCCGAGGCTGAGATTTGGTGGATAGCTTGGACCGGGGAGTAACATAGGCTATACATTCATATTACATTAATATGTTCTTTTGGAGCCATTTTCATCTATTTTAAGGTTTAAAAGAATAGAGCCATATGCCCTTTGATAGGGATGAATAGCAACGGTCAGAGGACAGCATCCGGTCAGAGACCGTTCCTAAAGGATATTCGTTAGCGTTCATTATGATGGGAACCTGCGGTTAATATCTACATTCCCCAATATAAAAATCAGGATTTACCAATTTAGTTAATATTATGTATACGTTTGCTTGTTTGTTACTTCCATTGTCTTCCATTGTCTGTGTATTTATTGTGTATCTTGTACGAGTATAATAATTGGGGTTTGCTCAAGTTTGGTGCCATCCGCAAGAACTTAATGTTAGCTACCGAGGTGATCAATAGGAAGAAGAGAACGCAGTTAACATTTTCACAAGTCAGAAAGCTTGAAAGAAACTTTATGTGAAATTAAATTTTGCGTGTCCATTGTCTCATAATTAATGGTACAGTATTTTACGGGTCATTTTGTTTTCATGGAGTAAAATAATGAAATAGTGTTGGCCTAAAGGAAACGTTTTTGTTTAAAAATTTCTTTTCATTCGTCGTTAGATTGTCATTCGTCATTCAGGTTATCAAAAGTCCATAAGTCACCCGTTTCAAATAATGTCCATTAAATTCAGTTAATTCAAATCAAGGACAAAATGGCGTCTGGCCCACAGTTTTTGAACATCTGTGTTGAATGTAAAGTTGGAAATGCTTCTTGGCTTTCATTAGCATTATTATGCTTTAATATTGTTTTTGTTATTATAGTTATACTAGTTATTCGCTTTTTATACGCCCACATGGAAATGTGGTCGTATGTTGCCGTCGCCCCCGTCCGTCCGTCGGTCCGTCCGTCCATCGTCCACAATTTCTTGTGAACACTCTACAGACTACATTTATCAACCGATTGTTTTGAAATTGATATATGTTGTTTGTATAAGTGAGATGAAGAAGCCTATTTAATTTCAATAACGTCTGTTAATTTCTTCTGGAGTTATGGCCCTTGTTTCACTTTGTTGCACCTTGTGAATGCTCTAACGACAAAAGTTACAAACCGATCTGTATGAAATTTATATGCATCATTTAAATTAGTAAAACAAAGAAGCCTATTGAATTTCAGCAATTTCCATTAATTACATCTAGAGTTATGGCCCTTGTTTCACTTTGTTGAATCTTGTGAACGCTCTAATGACAAAAGTTATCAACCGAGCTGTATGAAATTGATATGCTTCATTTAAATTAGTGAAATGAAGAAGCCTATTGAATTTCAGCAATTTCCGTTAATTTCTTCTGGAGTTATGGCCCTTGTTTCATTTTGTTGCACATTGTGAAGCTCTAACGACAAAAGTTATCAACCGATCTGTATGAAATTTATATGCATCTTTTAAATTAGTAAAACAAAGAAGCCTATTGAATTTCAGCAATTTCCGTTAATTACATCTAGAGTTATGGCCCTTGTTTCACTTTGTTGAATCTTGTGAACGCTCTAATGACAACAGTTATCATCTGATCTGTTTGAAATTGATATGCATCATTTAAATTAGTGAAATGAAGAAGCCTATTGAATTTCAGCAATTTCCGTTAATTTCTTCTGGAGTTATGGCCCTTGTTTTACTTTGTTGCACCTTGTGAACGCTCTAATGACAAAAGTTATCAACCGATCTGTATGAAATATATATGCATCATTTAAATTAGTAAAACAAAGAAGCCTATTGAATTTCAGCAATTTCCGTTAATTACATCTAGAGTTATGGCCCTTGTTTCACTTTATTGAATATTGTGAACGCTCTAATGACAACAGTTATCATCCGATCTGTTTGAAATTGATATGCATCATTTAAATTAGTGAAATGAAGTAGCCTATTGAATTTCAGCAAAAGTTATCATCCGATCTGTATGAAATTCATATGCATTATTTGAATTATTAGAACGAAAAAAGCCTTTCGAATTTGAACAATTTCTGTAGATTGCTTCCAGAGTTACGGCCCTGGTTTTAGATTTTAGAACCTTGTGAACCTTCAAACAACGGAAATTATAATGTCATCTGTATGAAATTGTCTATTAAATTCCCCTAATTACCTAAAAAAGAATAAATATGTGACAACCCTTGTCGACTGCTCTGACGATTTAGCTGCTGTGGGCGTATGTTTTGTTGCCTGGCAACCTATCTTTGTATTCTAGGTAACATGAGCCCATATATCACATCTTATATGAGAAAATATAACGTGGAAAAGAATTTACGCTATACAGACAGCGTATGGATATTTGCTTGTTCTGGAATGGGACAAGGAGCTTCCATGTTTTTAGGTGGTATATTAGAAAAGAAAATAGGACCAAGGTTAGCAACGTTATTAGGCTCACTTTTCATGAGGTAGGTATAACTGAACGTTTTATATATTTATAAAGATCTTTAATGTATCAATGACCCCAGATTTGGTATTCTGAATGATTGCCTGTGTATTAAGTTTTCTTTCAATATAACCTATTTCAGAATAATTGTTTTAAATATACCCCTCAGAAACCGTAAAGTTAAAAGCAGAAATTCAGGAGTGAGAAGTTGCCTGTTTAAAACAGTACTCTGTGGGAGGATTGATCAATGGACTGATGTGTTGCTGTTTTTATCTCTTAAATTTTGTTTTCTTTGATATATTTTAGTTTGGGTGTATTTCTCTCGTATTTCACTGTGAAGTATTCATTTCCATTGTTAGTTTTAACCTATGGTCTTATGATAGGGCTAGGTATCGGTGTGGCTTATGCTGTACCCATGGCCTGTGCTATGAGGGTAAGAAGATTTATTGTTTATACTTACCTAAACCTCCATAATTTTTTTTTTTTTCTACCCTGCCATATTTATATTATTGATCGTTATGGAAACATAGAACAGTCTATATTCCTAAGTGGCCAATCAAAACATACCGCGATGCTTATCAATATCGAAAAATAAACACCATTCTTATATAATTCCCCCCATCAGTTATGATTTAGAACTACCGGTAACTAAAGAAAGAGTACTGACGTCAAATGGCATCTTCCTGGTGTCAAAGTAATACAGTCTAACCGTGTATTACCATGACAACACCTACAGATTATATATAGGGATCACAGTGGCTAAGTAGGTAAAACGCTGGCTCGCTAGCCTAGAGGTTGTGTGTTTGATCCATGCATTCGAAGAGAAAGTGCATCCAGATTTTCTTGCATGGTTCAACATTGTCAATGATGCAGGACGGAGGGCCTGACAAGGACAGCTGTCTAGTCGTTTAGATGGTATGAAAAACCTAGGTCCGGTGAACACATTGGTGTGCACATAAAAGATCCCTTGACAGCTGGAATTCAGTATAAGAGTAGGCTATAGTGCCACCGTACGGGCAAAATTTCCCTCATAGCACACTGTATGGCGTATGCCCATCTTTATTAGCCCAGTTGGGGTAGAACAGTAGGACGTTAAACCCCATTTCATTTCTCAGATTATATATTATAGAAACATTCCGTCAACTCATTACTGTCTATTCAAATTATAAGGAGTTCGATACAAGGTTTAGCAGTCGCCTTGTGTATGAACAAACATCACTATTTTCCCGTTATAGATTTCAAAGTTTGATTTGCATATGTACACGAACTTTTAGGAGACCCAATGAGAAATGGGACTTCTCCTTTAATATTTTGTTACGGTTGATTTTAGAAAAAATATTTTTACTTCAATATTGACCAGCCATGTTCAAATACATATTTCAATTTCGTCTTATTATTATATAATTGTGTCCAATATAATTCAATTTAGTGGTTACCAGACAGGAGAGGTTTAGTTAATGGTTTTGTGGTGGCAGGTTTTGGTGGTGGAGCTTTTATATTCGACCAAGTTCAAACAGCTTTCATTAATCCTAAAAATCAAAAGGTTGGTGATGATAAGTAAGTAGATATTTTAATATGTAAATTGCTAACCAATATGGTAGACAAATTTTCATTCATGAGAGATTGTCACAAAATCATGGTATGTGAGGTATATGTATTGCCCCTTTATAGATTTGGGTACTGTCCCTTTAATGTACTGATTGACCTTGTTTACTGCCATAGATTGTTTACTGATTATCCAGACTGAAATAAATGCATTGAATTTAACAAGGTGTTTTGGTTGTCAATTATAAAGCCAATAAATATCTCCAAATATCTTGACAATTACACCACAATATTTATATATATATACCAAGGCTTAAAGGACAATATTGGTGTCAGTCATTATCACATTTGTGATAGAACTAGTTAAACACGTTCCAGATATAATTTTAACACATAGATCATTGCTACGATAGATGCGTAATAAAGGTTTCAACAATCTGAAGTGACGAATGCAAAAGGAAAACACATGTTATCCCTCTGTATAACTAACTGAAGTGACGAGTGATAACAGATATATGGGCGAATTTCTGCTCACTAATGATTCCTTCGAAGACCAAAAGTTGTTGAGTGAGACTGTGAGAGGATGTCTGACAATTCATAAAAAATATTGACTGTCACTAGATAAGAGAACACAAAAGAAAAATAGAAAAAGTCTGTGCATTACCATGTTTTTATTAAGTATAGAATGAATAAAAACAAGGGAATGTTTGGACTATTTCTATATTTCTCGTGTTTTCTTATCTAAATTCACCCGTGTATCTGTTATCCCTCGTCACTTCAGTCAGTAATATAGATGGATAACTTGTGTTTTCCTTTTGCGTTAGTCACTTCTGATTGTTGAAGCCTTTATTACGCATCTATCGTAGCAATGATCTATGTGTTAAAATTATATTTGGAATGTGTTTAACCAGTTCTATCACATATGTGATAATGAGTGACACCAATATTGTCCTTTAAATCAGTTTCACTCATTTATAGCCACTAAATAAACGGTCATGTTGTACTTAATAAGCTATGAAAATTTAACCATTATTATATAAATAATAGACTGAAAAATGGTTACAAGTGTCGGCCATAACATCCGGGCACATTTGAGTAAAAAATAGGTTACATGCCCTTGTTTTGAAATTAGTCTTGCTTAACCAGTCTGCTTAACCTTGTTTTGATTGACAGGCCGGGATAATCAGGACTACATTATTTTTTTTTACGAAACATAACAGAAAGTTGGAACAAGAAATTGAACTTAGAAACACGCACGTCAGGCAACTCAACAATTGTTTAAGAACCTTGTAAAAGTAAAATGAAACTACTGCTAGTATCATGTTCTTGCCTAACCCAAGTGTTTCAGAGATATTATTTGTACTAAACCAAAAGGTCAATTGAATAACAATAGTTCATTTTTAATATTAAAAAAAGAACTGTTCTTTGAAAATACAAAAAAAGTAGTTCCTTTTCAACTGACCAATCAAATTCATGTAAAGCGATATCTCCTAAGGAGATATCGCAGTAGATTATGAAATATATCACACAAACGATATCTACTGTAGAAAGTATTATTGGGTGATAAACTCGGTTAACTGTTTTTGTCTTGTGATAGGAAATATGTGGCTATAGAGGTGGCCGTTCGTCCGTCTTGTAACATAGACCCACAGTTTTCATGTGTACGTATTATGCTGTCGCCCCTGTCCGTCCAGACGTCTGTCCTCCATTGGTTTGTGGACATTCTACAGGTCACAATTTTTATCCGATTTTGACAAAACTTGAGATATAGGTGTATCTCCCAAAGATCTCTGTTCCTTTCGATATTGGCATGTATCAGACCATAACTTTATGGATTGTGACCCCTGATTGTACGAAATATCACCGTTACAGCGTAATGTCGGTTGAGTCAATCTTGGGTTCCTTTCGATTCATGCATATCGGATCATAACTTCCTGTATTATGACCCCTGATTGTACGAAAAGTTGCATTTTTAGCTTGTGGTCCAGTGGCATTTACTGAAGACAGACTTTATCATCAGGGCTACTTGTATCTTTAGATTCATATTTGAAAACGAACGGGTTGGACTCTGATCTGAAATAGTCTGGATTAGATTAAACAGATCTTTATAGTGATTAGGTTGTCTGTTACTGAACAGTGTTATATGGCATCTGTAACTTTTCACGATTGTTTCAGTTTTTTCCACCAGTCTGATGTTCTAGATAAAGTGCCGGATTGTTTTTTGTTGTTAGGGGGTTGTTATGTGGCTATGCAAATTTTGGGTTGTCTTTTATTAAGTAATCCACCACAATCCGAGGTGAGTATTTAAATAAATAATAAAACTGGTTACACACTGGTAAAGGACAATACTTAAGACGAAATCTTGAAACATAGATTTAAGCAATAAACGGTGAAATTTCAGCTTGTACATATGCATATGGACCGAATTGCAAGGGAAATTTAAATACCCCCCCAAAAAAGAATTTAGGTCGAACAGAAACCAATGATTTCCACGTTACTTCCTAGCATTATATTCATACTAGAAATATAATTGATTTATTAAATAAATTCGCTAATCTTCTTACAATATTTTATTCTACATTGTTACAATTCTGGTCATATAATTCTCTTGACATTGCCATTACATTTGATAGTCATGAGTGTGTGGTGGTGGAACGTCATTTTATGTATGTCTGCCACTTTATGTATTTTTCAATGTCTTGATACAGAAATATTTTATAGAGTTAAACCCTATTAAGGTAAGTTATCGATGATTGATCTGTGGTAATGGTGCATGTAATCGGGAATCTTCATACTTGCTTATTATTTACTTATATTGGTTTTGGAATGTGCTTTTATTAACGTTTATGGTGTTATTGTCAGAATTAAAGATACATTAGTTAAGAGCTAAATATGCCTATTGCATACGGAAGACCATTAGGGTCAATCAAATTTAAAAAAAATATTCTGAGTATCTTGTAATTACAAGATAGCTATCACATGAAAAAAGGTGTTCTAACTAGTATATTTCAAGGTCGCCCTACACTGATTTATCAGATAGCTAGGCCAACAAAGTACTTTTTTATGTTACAGGATCGGCACATTCAGTTCATGCTCCCATTAATATCATTAGTTATTTCGTGCCCTCATTAAACACCATTCAATAAGTTCATACTCTCATTGACTTCATAGTTCCACCAACTTTATACCCTATCATTGATATCATTTATTAATGATACATTGATTTCATGCTCTCCTTAAAGATACTTTCCCAGCATACCAACTGGGTGATTTGATGATATATTTGGGCTTAAAAAAACATATTCAAACTAATTAATCTATCAAACATTTGCTTCACCCCCCCCCCCCCCAACTTTGTATTCGTCAGGAGATACCGCAAGCTATAAATAAACTGTTGTTAGATGCCATGCCATGTCATTTCATTGAGGGAAGATTCATTTTTCAGAATGTATTTTTCGTTACTTACTGTCCATTTATCGTACATATTGAGATCTAAGTAAATTCTTAATTATTTTCTGTCAACTACTTTTTCCGTTGACACCTTCAGTGTTCCTAAAACCGCATAACCATTTGATCAAGAAATAACAATCGCTCCCCCAGTCAAGCTAGCACACAATAAGCTGACAAACAACAGTCGGATTGCAAGTTAGTGATGTCCTCACATTTTTGCCCAATGCTTACCCCATTGGTATTTTTCGGGTAATCTAGTATTGGGTGTCTATACTTTCCATTTATACGAAATTTGTTCGAAATAACCACCCGATAATACTTTCGGCACAATGTATCTTTAAAGCCACGGATTGCTATATATATTTACATAGATAGCTATCTTGTAATTACAAGATCTTAACTAGTAACGTATCTTTAAACGTACATTTTAAAATGCCATTAACATTTTGATGATGGAGGATGTGCTTTCTAGAACACATAATACCATTTTAATTTGTGTGTGGGGGCGGGGGGAGTTCACAAGGTAATTGGGTTGAAGTTCAGTATCTCAATGGCAATTGATGAGTTTGTCTCAAATATTTCTCAAATGAAATTAAAAATTATGTTTGTATCGACCGATGGATACCATTAAACTGCTAATACATTTTTAACGATGTGGTTATAGTTTTGAAAAAAAAACAAAACAGGAGTACTATTGATTGATTTACCACATTTTGTATACTTTATCTGTTGCCATACACATTTAAATATAATTAGTCAAATTATACTTGCTTGGGTAAAAAGTGTAAATCCTCTTCCGCAGAGTGTTACACTCAATATAGTGTAACGTTTAAACCTGCCTATATTTATCACTGTATTACAGGCACATGTTTTGTATAATAAATTTAAGCACAAGGAGTCTACGACCGATCAATTTTTAATTATTTCTGATCGTTACTATAATATGATCAACGCCCAAATTAGTGCTATAATTTTCAAAAACACACAAACTTGAGTATAACACAAAATATTTTTGTGTTTGGCATGATTTTGAGAATATTTCCCCAATATAATATACCGTTTGATGTTAATACACTCGTAAGGGCGTACTTCAGTCGGAAGTGCTCCTTAGATCGGAAGTGATGTCATTGGGTTAAGTGGTGTAGTTTCGATCCCAAGCTTGTACCTGACATGGATTAGGGTCGTCTGTCTAATCTCGATAAGATTTACCATAATATGCTGGTCCCCAAATGATTAATATCTCTCTCTCTCTCTCTCTCTCTCTCTCTCTCTCTCTCACGCATGCTCTGGTGTAAATTTTACACAACATGTTAATTTTATTTATAGCTTTTTTATCAGTGAATGTTACAGTTAGCATGCAATTATAGTTTAATAATCAAAAACATATGTTGCCATTTTAAAATTAGTGTGAAATATATATTATTAAGAATATCACTATACCGTTATGTATGACATGGAATGAACATTAATTTTGTTACGATAGACGTGTGTATAAAACATTTTGTTATTGAGTCGTGGGCAAAAGACCTATACCACCAAACCTCAATATATACATTTATGATGTAAACTATTTTTTCATTGATTTTATCATCAATACATGTGATAAAGCTAGATACCATAGGTACATTTGTATGTTTATTTAAAAAAAACTTTATCAAACGTAGGCTATATGCAAGACATGATCTAGTTAACATTAGATAACGCCAGTATTGACTAATGTAAATATTACCTGTTTTGACATGTTATAAGATTATCATTGGTGTCAAATCAACGAATGGGGTAAACCGTACCCCCTTTGATTTTGCTGAAATTTGGTTTATATGCAAAAGCTGCTATTCAAAATCAGGAATGATGGTTCCTGAGAAATTAGGCGATTTTAGTTAAAATGGGTGTTGTTGCCAATATTCAAATACCCGTAGCTTAGTAACCGATTGGTAAAAATTGCTGAAATGGGTATTGATGGAAGGACCATTGCACAAGGATTCCAAATTAGACATTTACGATTAACTTTCTTTCAAAAACCAGCCCTACATGTGTTCTACCTAATATGAACATGGGGGATATGATATGTTTAATTTGTCTGTAAATCAAGACAAACACATAATAATATACATATCGGATACTAAAATCGGCTTGTTTGCCCTTTAATATGGGATATGTATCCCCAAAGCTTAACACTAAATCTAACTTAAAGGGCTTGATTTTATAGACAAATATAAAGTTTTACAACCCCAATTTTTTATACGGCCAGCTCAATTTTCATCAAAGTATCTGAGATGTAAATAAGATTAGGGCACGTGATTGTTGGCAAGATTGTAGGTTAGGGTTAGAGAAAGCATTAGGGCTAGGTCCAGGGTTAGGGTTAGGTTGGGATTAGCGCTAGCCCTGTTTACATGTAGATCTCTTGTCCTTTGACCAAACTTGAAGTTGGCCTTATCAAATAGATCTAACCCTGTAATACACCTGAAGGTTAAATATTATTCCGAATTCTTGTGGAATTCCCCTCCCCATCAATACCAAATTCAGTAATTTTTACCAATCGGCAACTGCGCTATGGGCATTTGAATAGGAGAGGGCATGAATGGGGCTTATCTCAGGAACGTTAATCCGATCAAGTTGAAATTTGGAATATCAGCATTGTCAGCCAACATGAGCATTGTAGAACAATCGAGCGTGGTAAGATTTACTTTTTCAATTTAAAAAAAAGAAGAATGGGGCGGGATTTGACACAGAATGGCTCTTTAATGTCCTTTAATATTATCCTAAACTAAAAAGATGCAAGTCAGTTATATTCAACACATGCTGTTACATTAGACGCGTCAATGATAAAGATGATAGTCAAATTCCTTGATGTGTGAATGTAGAGAACTTGGTCATGTGTATATAAGAACCGAATTACACTGAGCATATGTTCTGGACTGGCTCGAGTATGCTTATGTACGATTATGTGTTTTCATTCGGATTCATGTACCTGCAATCGAGTTTAAAAATCATTAGAGAACAAACTGGATGGATTTAAGTTTTAAAAAAACCCACGATTCTTATTCGTGGCATTGAAATACCTTCTCGTAAATGAGAATATCAATATGGCCACTGTTGCAATACGTGGTATGCAATCAGTCACATAGCCGGCATCCTTTCATTCTTTTGACAGATGAATATCTACGAAAGGTCAGGAAGCAGAAGTTTAGAGCTATTTGTTAGTTGTTTAACTCAATACATCGTTATGAAATGATAACAAAAAAGAAATGTTAAACAAATATACTAGAATGGCATTTCTGTAAACACCTAAATCTTGGCACATTTTTCATTAAATTACATATATTAATAATTTGTGACGGTATATTTTAGAGTTTACAGAAAATAAATTCACCAGCTGAAAGAAGACCTATTCTAAGTTCAGATGAAAATAGTCCAGAGTCTTCTTCAGATACAGATCAAGATGACAGCATTGTGTAAGATATACATAAAGCTATTCATAAGTAAATTAGGTTTTGAGTGTATAAATTCCAAAAAGTCAAACCTGACCATATGTAAAAGTATGCACTATACTTTACTGAGCATGATCATTATTGAGTAGGAATCGTGAGCTTACAATAATTTTTAAATGAAGCTATGATTATGGGATTTACATAAAATTGACTGAAATGGTGATCTTGGCTTTTTGAAAGCCCTGAGGATTTATTTAAGTGACGAGGATCGTGTGCAATACCACCATGCACTCTTTTTCGGAATATTTTATTCTGTTTACAGACTTTTCATAACTAGCATTGTATATTAGCCGTTTTCGACCCATTGATTTCCCTCATTTTTTCCAGGCCGCCAGATGTAGAAGTAGAAAGAACCTTGTCACCAGGTGAAATGTTACAAACTAGAGAATTTTATATATTATGGTTTATTTTATTATTAAATGGCCAGGGTGTTCTTTTCATATCTACTTTATACAAGGTAAATTATAATAAAAACTTACTATTTTACTGAATGACTCTTTAAGTCTTAAGTGATGTCCACTTAAAGATACAATTTCATATTTTTAAGTTATATTTTTAAAATTTATTAAAATAAAGCCTTAAAATAGATGGTTATAAGCAGTCCTACCTTGTTAAAGAATAATCCTATTAATCCTATAATTCACTATTGCCAGTTGAGAAATTGGCAAAAATATCATTTTCAACTTCAAATTCTAACGTTCGAAGATAGCTATTCCATGGAGGGAATAGGAAAACAAGGGAGGTAATTTTGTTATTATTTCCAGTGTCAATGATTTTTAAATGTGGGAAATAATGCCTATGATCATATAATAGTGAGTTGATAACCTATTGAGCAAAAGACAGAAATAATTATGTTTTGACTTTCTTAGAAAATATGAAATTCTCGCTTTAAGTCAGATTACGACCCTATTTGTTTTAGTCAGATTACGAATATGTTTAAGTCAGATTCCGACTCTGTTTCTCAATCAATTACTCAGTTGGTAGAAAATATATATTCCGGTGGCGGTCAGTGACCACAAAGCTGTTTGTTATGAATTTTCCTCGTAGACACAAGCGCCAAAGATTTGGCAATCTTATGTTGATGATCGAGTCATTTTGGTTTTTTTTTTTTCTTTCGCCGTTTCTGTATATATGAATATATCGTATGTTATCCAGATACACAAAAAATAGGTTTGTAAATTTTTGAATTATAATAAACTAAAACACAACTTATATTTACTGAATTGCATTGCAATATCTTGATATGTAATGATTATGGCCCCGTGTTGCTTCATAGGGAGATCCCAAATGACTGACCAATTTCCATTTTCTTTGTTAGCCCAGCAAATATCCGTACTAATTCGAAATTAAATCCCAAATAATGCATCATATGCTTTTACAAACACCAAGATAATCACAATCTTTCTTTGCAGTGCTAAGTTCAGATGACTTGAATATACATGTAGCTTAAGTTCAAATTCCCGCCGGTACTCATCTTTCATTCATATTTAACATGACATTTGTAACAATCCTTGAACTACTTGTTACTTTTGTTCTTTGATTTTGCCACTTTTGAAATAAGTTAACAGCCCATCTGTATTTGTCCTCGGTTTGAATACTCAGAACACTTTCAACTAGATTTTTTTAGATCTGACTTCACTAATGGTGTTGAAACTCCAGACTTTGTATGTTCATTTGATCCTGTGTCACTGTCACTTATATCAGAGTATATATCAAATTTCAAATCAAAATTTGGACGGCTAATACCCGCCATATTAGCCACAGTACTAAGAATATTACCAGTATCTAATTCATTTTCGCGAGTATCCTTTCCATCATGGCTATTAACCTCCATATTAAGTACATCACAATTTTGACGGCTATGATTCACCATATCAAGTACATTACTAAGAATGTAATCGGTATCCAAATCCGTATCACAAATATCCTCATCATTAATATTTGTTTTCGACTGTGTTATAAATATATCGTTTCGTTTTTATAGTTCAAAATTTCATTTTACTTGTCTTTACTACACTAGGATCTGGAAGAATTATCATTGACGTGTTCTGAATGGTGTGAGGTATTAGCCAATGAAACGGTCTGTTACGGCGAGCTTTAGGTGTGTTTTGCACGGAACTGTGGGTAATCCACTAGTAACACCAATGCTGATTAGTCAAAAGCCGCCCGTATGACCTCTAAGGTGACCTATCGCAACAACCGGTCAGATCTTCATGTAGTGTAGATGATCGAAAGTATAAAAATCAGATTGCATTTGAAGACATCTTGCTTAATGAATATTTTGGACTTCCTGTGTATGCTTGCATTATAATGTCTAGAGTGCTTTGTCACATACATTCAGAGGCATGTACATGTTGTTTTAAGAATCTGTACATTATTTTAGTGGCTTGTTGTTTTAGAAACCCATCCATTATTTGCATCTCTATGGTGCTATGTCTTTCTTCCCCAGCATAACTGAGACCGGGGACATTATCTTGCTTATAAACCGTCTATGTTTACATGTACAGAATATCCCAGAATTCCAGTAAGAAAAACCATTATATCATGTTCTCGTATGGAAAAAAACCCTACCCTGGTAGAATAACCTAATACAGATTTAAAGAAAAACTCTCAGAAGAATAACCCCAAATTCCTCTCAATATATTGAGACCGCAAGTTATTCCGGGCATAGAATATACCCCAAAGATCAAAGAGATTTACCGTTATAGGTTTATAAGTAAATAGAAAGAACAACTGAGGGGCCATTATCCATCACTTAATATACTACTTTATTTCTCAATATTTTGCAGGCGTATGGTGTAACGTTTATAAATGATGATGTATTTCTAGCTTTAGTAGGATCTTTTGCTGCAGTATTTAATGCTCTAGGAAGAATAATGTGGGGATATTTAGCTGATAAAACTTCCTTCAAGGTATTAGTTTTGATTTTCTTTATAATTGGTTTGAACTCAGATATGGGTAGTTACATGTATTTTACTGTACCTACAACAACAATACTCTCTTAAAGATACATTATGTAATATTTAAATAAAGAGCTGGTCGCTCTTGCTATAATAGTAATACAGTGATTCTCAACCAGTGTGCCGCGAGATCTTCCAAAGTGTGCCGCCAAATTTTGAACAGCACACTAAGAAAATGTGAAAAACCATGTGATCCCAATTGACTATTCACTGGTGTCAACTGATAAATTCATAGCTGTGTTTTTCTTTATTTAGTTTGAATAATTCTATGTGTCTATGACTAATCTCTGTCTACGGTTGTATTCCGTCGCACTTACCATGTTTTTATTTTGCAAGATTTAAATATTTTTCATATATATTTAGCCAGGTGTGCCACTATTTTTTCATGAGTTCCAAGATGTGCTGTTGGCAAAAAAAAAGGTTGAGAACCACTGCTATAATAGTTCAAATAGCCTAATGCAAAATAAATGTATTGAAAATGTCATTCAAGTTACTTTGTTCTGGGCGAAGTTATCACAGTTTGGAGTTTTGACCAGTTGTGGCATATGTTTTTTATTATCATAACATCGGTGCTTGTTATTCGAGACTTAACATCGCTTCGCCATTTTTAAATTAAATCATTAATCGGCTGCCGTCTTTTAACCCGTTTAAATATCCGCCATCCGATGGTCTAGGGAGTTGATTATCGGCTTATCATGTGAATAAATGTCTAAATAATAGTTTATATAACATTTGAAGCCAAAATAAAGACCTGCAATAGGCAATTTAGCTCTTACATAATGCACCTTTAAGCCTTACCTACACAGGGAACTGGAATCTTTGAAAGACCAAAACACTAGTCGCCTCATCTCATCTCATAAATTGTCAGTATCCATACATGGATCAACACATTCTTTGCGAGGAGATGATGAGTTACGTTATATACACGTGAACATACGTTCTTCAAACGACTACAGTTGTTGATAAGTTTGATTGGCTAAGAGCACAATTCTTTTTGAATTCTGTTGCAGTTACCCACATACGAGCGATTTTTTTTTGGGGGGGGGGGTTGTCACAAAAGATTGTGATCAAGCATTTTTGATCTGGTCGATAAAAATCTGTAACTTTCGGCTAGAAAGACTGTATCTTTCGTGTTTGATGATCACAACTTCCCCGTATACACTGGGCGCAATATTAGCAGTGAAAAAAAAAAGTTGTACGACTGTAAGCTGCTTTAACATACGTATACGTATATGTATGTGTAATCAACAATGCAAGAAAATTACAGTTTTACATAAAGGTGAAACATGGCCTTTACTATTGGTTTATATTTTATTCATTATCTATTTAATATTAGAATAGTTTCAAAAATGCACAAATCATTTCGACTTTGACATTTAATTACGAGTTCTATTTACTAAACTATATCTGAGACGGTTCCTTTAAGATACAACGCGGCAAATAAATGTAAATGCATGAATAGTGATAATCTCGAAATTTAATCAAACTACCGACACCCTTATGTTTGTTTATTTAATTGCAGGTTGCAATGGTGTTATTAAATGGAACATTTACTATTTTAATATTAACTCTAGGATTAACAAAACTTGTTGGAAAAGGTTTATTCTTTGTGTGGGTATGCCTTATATTTTTAACCTTTTCTGGCAATTTTTCTCTGATGCCCACAGCTACCTCGAAGTGTTTTGGTCAAGCACATTATGTTATTAATTATGGTCTAGTTTTTACATCTCAGGTATAGTATAATATACTGTATTTGATATTTTACGAAAAAGATAATAATAATTAGTATTCGTTTTGACAGGCCAAGTGCCACCTTTGCGCACAGACACCGAGTTTAAGCCCTGATCCCACTGACAAGGCAAGTCTGGTTTGTCTAGGATGAAAAACAGTGTCTATAATAAAATACTATATCATTCATGACAGAATTACCCCCCTCCCACCTTAACTTCGAAATGGTATGTTAGTCCAAATAGATAAAGCAATGAAAAATTTACGACTACTATTTATTGTTGTGCAATGGCTTTTGCAGTATAGATCAGGTTATCCCCTTTTGCTACTCTGGGATATTATTAATGTTATCATAGTTTCATGGATATCGGTTGATAATTGCGGTCTTCAGTCGTGTCATGAGATGGGTGGTAATCTGATATCTCGGAAACCGCTAAACGGAAGTGGCCGAAACTTTGCCTACTCTGAGATATTATTAATGTAATTATAATCTGTAATTTGGTAATTGCGGTCTGCGGTGTGGTGCCATATGAAATGTGTGGTAATCCGATGTCTCGGAAACTGCTGGCTGAAAGTGGTCGACATTTTGGCTACGCTGGGACATTATTAATGTTAACGTGATCTGTAAGTTTCATCGAAATCGGTTGATAATTGCGGTACGTAGGCAATTTGTTATTTGTGAGGAATGTAATTTAGGACTAAACACTAGCCACTCTGCAACATTGTATGTTTATATTATCTTATCACCTGATAACACATTTTACTGTAGATATCGCTTAGTGAATCAAAAAGGATGGAAAGCGTTGGGTGATAAATAAAATTTTCTACTGTAGATATTTTTTATGATATCAAAAACTGATATCATAAAAAATATCTACATTCCTCGATAAAGTAAAAAAAAAAAAAAAAAAAATCGGCAAAGGCTCGTTCTTTTTTTACATTATCGACTGGTGTTGATATTTTTTTATATTTTCTTTATATATTTCTTGTATAAATAGGTAGTGACAGGTCCTATAGGTGCTATATTACCCTCCCAATTACAGTCAAGTATTGGATGGTATGGTTTGTTTTTTATGGTTGCTAGCTTCTCATTTATGAGTAAGTCCATTTCGATTATTACATAACTTTTAAATAGTATTTAGTAGTAGACATTCTTGACAAATTACTTTGTGTTTATTGAAAACTCTGTTCTTTCTGACACGAAAACCAATGGCAAAGTTCAACTCCAAAAATGGCACTTGCACGGATGCCAGTAGACAGATGTTTCTTGTAATACTGTCTTACCTGAATTTGAATTACTTTTGACAAATAAACGAACTAAAAAAATATAAAGGATATAATATAGTTGTTCGTGTGTGTTGGTGTTGGCGAGTTCTATCTCTTATAAGAGCTGCTTGGAATATGTGCTTATTATATTCTTTAGAATGTATTTGTTAAAGGAGCTAAATCGCTAACATTTGGGACCTAAAAATTGACAAAAGTGGGTCGCAACGCATATAATACTGTAATATGATTGTATATAAACTGATTTACATTCAATGGTTTCCGTTTTTACTCCAATTTTAAAATCAGTTATGTTCGGCAAAATAAGCCAGCAGTCTCAAGCGAGTACAAATTTCTAGCGTCAGGTTATTCCAGTCTACATACGCCGTTTGATTTGGTGCAATGTGTCTAGCTTCGTCCCTCGAGTCTCTTGATACAACTGGGGCTGAAGCGCATTATGGTCTTCGATTCGTGTACCAATGGTAATTTGTCTTAAATATTGGATATCAAAAGCCCATCTTTTTCCGGTAAGATCACAACATGAATGTTGATTTAATTTGACAAATAAATCGTGTTTTCAATGTTGAAGATTTTGGATGATATTGAGTTAGAGACTTAGCTACTTTAAATTCTGATATTGAGTTAGAGACTTAGCTACTTTAAATTCTGCTGTTAGTTAGTATCTGTTGTGAATAATTGCACCATAGGAATCTGATTCGTAGAAACCGAATGCTGTTTGTACCAGGCCTAAACAACAAACATTTACAGTATTTATTAGAAAATCTATAAACATAATAGGATGGTCCGATGATATTTCACCATCGCTTCCTGCGATAGACATTATTTGGGGATGCCATGGTGGCTCAGTGAGTACGACACCGACTACAAGGTTCGATCCATGCTTACCCTGGATTTTCCATCGTGGCTCCCACCTTTGTCAGACGTGCCGGCCATAAACCGAGTTCCCGTATATACGTTGGTGTGTATACAAAAGAATCCATCAAATTGGAATAGGTGGTAGCGCTGCTGTCCGGGCAAAATATTTCTCATATTCACTGTACGATCGACCTCTGCCTGTCTAGATTAGCACCCACCCCCTCCCTCTGGCACAGAAATGTAGGATGTTAAACCCCATTTCATTCATTCAAAAATCATTTTGTATTGTTTCATAGCACAGTTCTATGGATAACAATCACTATGACGATATTATGAACGCACGTCATTCCGAGCATTCTTGATGACGACTACTGAAATCTTGAGGTACGTCGTATAATAAAGTGCAATTCAAAGACTAAGTTTCACTTATCTATGGAAGCGAATAGGAGCCAATAGCGCGATGGATACCGCGATATAAATAAGATATTATGTCAAAATATTGTGATCGTTGCGGTAATTATACCCCCGAATGAACTGTTTTTGTCGAGTTGGTTGAATCAACGCACTGAGTTGTCTTTCGTCATTTTGTTTTGAATGTGCACGTATGCGGTCAGATATTGCTATTATGAAGCCTTGTCAATATATTCCAATTATGTCAACATAGCGCATGGCGATATTTAATATACGAACATGTCGAAATATACTACGGCGAAATGGAATATATCGACAAAGCTTCAGAATAGCAACATCTCAACGCCAACGTGGTCATTTAAACCGAAAAAACGACACACAAAATAGCGCGTTGATACATATCAACTTTTCAGGTCTAAACTCATCTCGGCGATCACAATACATGTATGTTGACATATTACCCTATTAACATCTCTGTCTCGCTCCCATACGCAACAGACCGCAGGGACATCTTTGCTGATGTGGTCGAATTTGCTACCCCTCACATTAATGTACTTTATATTATTAACTTTTCAGGTTTGTTGCTGACTCTTTTGTTTAAAGTGAAAAATTCGAAAGGAAAGGATATTTAAGTGTTCCATAGTTTAAATACGGTTATCGTGTTGTCGAATCATTATATTTTTTTATATTTATTTTGAAGTTACAATACGAATTTCTGTCTCTATACATTATTGTATTATATACTCCTAGGTGTAATGCTTCTTGACAGATATCGGTATTTTTTAAAAGGATTTCAGTCAAGTTGGTTAATATTGTTTTTGTTACGGGACATAGGTAAAATAAGTGTTCCTGGGTTTCAAGACAGGAGTTACAGAAAGAACAAAGCGAAATCCATGTACTTATATATCCTCTGTATTCCCAGTGGTATCGTTCTGTTCCACTACACTTACCCCTGGGTCCATTCACGGGGGAGAAACACATTGCTAATTATATCGACCAGTCAAAACATTCGACAGTCGGCGAAGGGAAGTAACTCGCAATTTATGGAAATTAAGATCGTTGTCGAACTTTGTCAAAATATTTTAGGACATTGTTTTGTTTGCATGTCACTTCTTTGACATTAAATTATTGCAACCCGTTCTCATAATCGAGCGTAAACGCTGCTTGTGATGAATTTAAACAATGGCGCTAAGACTGTTAAATAAACTGCTTTTTGATTGGTTCGTAGATTTTAACTACGCGACCTATGAAATCATCATATGGTCAAGGTATATAATTTGAATTCGTGAAAATCTCCTGAATGGATCCAGGGGTTAGTGGAGTAGAAGGGAACGGTGTCAGTGGTTATGCCGAGGTTGGTACTTATAATGAAAGTTACACATTGTTGTGTTTGTGTTACAGCATATGGTTTTTGCTCGCTTAAACTAGTTAAACATACATTATGCAAGAGCTAAATCTGCCGATTGCAGGTCTTTCATTAGGCCTGAATTGTTATCTAAATTATTAATTAGACATTAATTAACTAATCCGGACCATAATCAACTCTCGATGTCAACGCTAGCCACCGATATTTTTGGATTAGGATCCGATTTGCTGTTCAACTTTCATTCATGATTTAATCATGAAATGGATAATCGAGACTATGTTTTTATCGTACCGACTTTAGTAATGATGATGGAGTCTAGGCCGAAAATTCAATCGCTAAAATCTCGGTTCAGAGTGTATCAATATTTGACTGAAATTTTCAGCAAATCCCCTTTTCATTATCTAGTTGTTAACTATTATAGTGAGAACTGCCAGCTCTTTATCTAATCTTCCATAATGTATCTTTAAATATTTTTTTCTGGTTTCTGTATTATTGATAGTGGTATTTAGAATGGTTTCCATCTGCTTTATAGATATTTCTATTAACTCATCCGAAATCGCCATCAGTTTTAGGAAGTTAGCGTGTGCCTATCTGCCGAACATTATATGTGCCAAGTTTGTCTATGTCTTTTGTTGGGACTATTAAAATGGGTACGTTGGTCAATCTGTTTCTAGTTGTGCTAAACTGTTCATGAGGTGAATGTCTTGACATAATTATATCAAGGATGATTATTCTCGGCTGTGGCTTAGCAGTGGCCCGTCACGCCCTTTAGAACACAATATAAATCTGCTTCTAATTGATGTAGAATGTTCATGTTCGTTGATATTCATCGCAGTGTTTCATTTGATTAGACCTAATCTCACTCAAGCACTGCCGTACTGAAAGCAAATTTCTGTTCCATATTATGACTGGTTAATAGTCCGATTAACAACCCATGCCTAACTGCGTAACAATGTCTTTCGGGTTTAAACAGAGCTCCACATTGTTTACATAACGTTACGTCATAACTCACGAAATTTTTACCCACAATTAACCAATGCATAGCAGGATATTGCAGAAAAACTAATTGCGCGACAAACGAGACTATCAACGGTTACAATGTAAACATTATTTTCACCGTTTTTAATACCTTGAATCACTGTCCAAAGTTCTAGGGAACACCGCAGATTAAACGATGGGCTGTCATGTTGCTGTACTTAGGAGAGATATGATTGAACGGGTAGAATAGACACATACCCTCAAAAGCTCAACTATCATAAGTCAATTCAGCAATGACCAGAGACGGATTTCTTGGGCAATTGCTTCAGGAATATGATGTTCGTTATGTGAATGTGAATGTCTTGACGGATAAATATTTTCTGCTTAGGCTGTGCAGAGATAAGAAATTTGTTGGCCGAGACTTTAGAACTCTGCTTCTAATTACACCAGTTGACTAATATAAGTTCGATAATGAGAATTTTCTACCCAGGTTGGTTAGGCTGATAAACAATTTGGTTGCTAGATGTTTTATAAAAAGAGAAATGTACAAGAATGAGTGTAAGTACTGTCATCTATTTGTTGTGGGATTGCCTTGTTAAGTAATAATAATACCAAGCTCTATCATTTCATATTATAGCATACAAACATTCCATTTTTGACGTTATAATTATGAATAATTTATTTATAGAATGTACATAATTTGTTATCTAAAGCTATTAGCTTGGAGTTTTATTAATGCTCTCTGATCAGACTGATGCAATTTTTGTGTAGTCTCATTTGTCCTAGTCTTATGTGTAGATTTATTTGTGTATCTAGTCGTATATATATTTTTTTAAATATTCGCCAATCTGATTAAAACACAGATCCTATTTTCTTTCGTTTTTTATTGTGCAAAATTTCGTTTTATTTCTTTGTACTACACTAGGATCTGTTGTTATATAACCTGCGTTCTGGATGGCGTGAGGGTTTAGCAAATGAAACCATATGTTGTTACGGCGACTGCTTGGCGTGCGATGCACGGAACTGTGGGTAAACCACTAGAAACGTCAACGCTGATTGATCAATCGATGTCTTACGTCATAGGGTCAAAAGTCGCTGATACGACCCCTGACTTGACCTTCCAGTACAACGGGTCAGATCTTCATGTAGTGTAGGCCATCGAAAGTATAAAAAAACGAAACGAAATATAGATCTGTATTTTAATCAGATTGAAATATTCCTGCACATAATTTATTTTGATTGCCTTGTAGATGGATACTTATATCCATAACTTATGGAGATTTTTACGGTAACTTATTTAGATAAATGTGTAGATAATTTATTTAGATACATGTGTAGATAATATATTTAGATTAATGTAGATAATTTATTTAGATAAATTGTAGAGAATTTATGTAGATAAATATGTAGAGAATTTATTTAGATAAATGTGTAGATAATTTATTTAGATAAACGTGTAGATAATTTGGTTAGTATAGTGTGGATAATTCAGTTAGTTATTTGTGTAGATCATTTATTTAGTTATTATTTTGGATAATTTATTTGTGAATCATTTATTTAATTATTTATGTACATAATTTTTTCAGTTATTTATCAAAAAAAAAATCAACATCTTACCTATATGGCTATGTTTGGTTGATAATCTGAAATGCAGTAACGTTACTTTAAGCTAGGGAAGTTTGAATGAAGGGAGTAAAAGACCCTTGCAGGACTTCGGAATGATTTTCACCAACTCTGGGTCTTTTTATCTATTCAGGGACTCTTCCTCCCCTACAACCTACTACTACATTTACCTTACGAGACAATTTTGTTTTATAATAGTTGCATACTGCCAATATTTGACTATTGCTCTAATATTTGGGGGAATGCTCCCAAAAGTAGATTAGACATTCTTTTAAAATAACAAAAGAGGGCAGCAAAAAGTATTCCTGATACACCAATTGGAACTCTGTCCACATCTTTGTAGCTTAGGAGAAACCGGCGGGACGATTTACCCAATACTACCCAATGCCACCCAATACCGCCCGAATACCACTCCAATATCACCACATACTACCCAATATAGCAACATAATGGTGCCAAATGAGCATATTACTTGATTTTTTTTCAAAAATAATGAGATATATCGTGGGAAATCTACTTCAAATGTGATTACCGATGTCTGGCTGTTCCATTTGCCTCCCTATATCACCCAAATCAAGCAAATAATAACCCAATACTATGAAATACTTATCAAATACTACTTAATACTACCAATATTATAAAATATTTACGCAGTTATCCCCCTTTACAACCGACAAATAGATTTTTGATTGCTACTCAGATTAATCATCTTGTTGGTCTTTGCAGTTTGTTTCCAAGACAAAAAAAAGTTTTAAAAGAAGTTAACAAAGATTTAAAAATGCATTAAAATAAAATCAGTTTATAAAATAAACAGCCAAGCATCCAAATAAAAAAGTATTTTAGAGGTTGATTTAACGGTCTCGTGGCCTACTCAAAAGTCTTTTTATACTATAATTATTTCTTCATCCTGTTGATTTTGGTATGATAACAGTAAAACGCTGTCTACAAGTGCACGCGGTCCTGTAAAAATCATTTGGGTATAATATGCCAGGAAAGCACACGAATTTATCTTTATATCTGTCTTTTAATGACTTATTAACGCGTCTTCTTTGTCTTTAAAATGATTCCGGTTCCAAACCAATCGCCTTTGAAAAAAAAAACCTTTTGTCAAAATTTCACCGATTCTTTGAATATCGACACTATTGAACAAATTCTAAGTCTTCTACGGTATATACCCACAGGTGGCGATGTCGCGGCGATGTCATTACCACCTAAATGAATAGACACGGTCACCATTTTTCTCCCACATATGCATATGTTTATATTTATTTTATCATGTCAACGATTAAGTTATTGCATATTAATGGACGATGTTTTATTTTAAAATTTAATTTTGCCTTATTTAAAAATATTTGCCAATACGAGTCGTCTATCAACTTTTTAGGGTAATCTCATAAAGTTAAAATTCACCGGAAGTGCCACCATTTTGAAAATGTAAATCCTACTCGTGCTACAATTTTTATCCAATTTTCAATATCGTCATATTTTTGGAAAGCATTCACAATTCGCAATCGATCGGCGGGTTTAGATTTTTGATATTTGATAATGTCGGTATTCTGGGGTGTATTGTCCATTTTGCCTCCTGTGAGTAAATGACAACCATGTCTCTTCCTTTTCCAAACGCACTACTTTGATATTGGAATTGTTTTGCCGAGTTTATGCAGTAATTAATGATTGACAATATTATTTTTAAGCTGTTAATACCCGTTTAAAGATACATTATGGCGGATTAGATAAAGAATCGGCAGTTCTCATTATAATAATTAAAAAATATATAATGTAAAGGCAATTTGCTGAAAATTCCAGTCAAATTGATCCAATATGAACCGAGAATTAAGAGATTGAAATTTCGGCCTAGCCTCGATCATCATTACTAAAGTCGGTACGATAAAAAACATAGTCTCGATTATCCATTTCTTGATTAAAAATGAAAGTTGAGCAGCAGATGGGGTCATAATCCAGTAACTACCGCAGGCTAGCAAAAACACCAAGAATTGATTATGGTCTGGATAAGTTAATTAATGTCTTATTAATAATTTAGATTACATGTCAGGTCTAAAGAAAGACTTGCAATGGGCAGATTTATCTCTTGCATAATGTATGTTTAATTGAGGAATGCCATATCGGGATATTTAGTTGTTATTCTACATGTAGTTACAGGTTTAATGTGACAATCCTTTAGAATATGCTAAAACGTAAGTTTGGGGGCAAACACCGACATTAATGAGAATATTATTAATTTCGAAGATATTATTTTTAGATGTAAAGGCAATGTTGGGGTTAGTTTCATTAGCATCAAGGTATTAGGCTACAGATGTATTTTTATACGCCCACACTTTCATGTAGATATATATTGTCGTCGCCCCTGTCCGTCCACCCGTTCACATTTTGGTAGTGGACACACTACCGGTCACAATTTTATCCGATTTTGACGAAACTTAAATAGGTTTAATTATATCCCAAAAGTCTCGGCTCCCTTCCTTTCAGATCAGCATTAATGGATCAGAACTTCCTGGATTGTGGCCCCTGTGTGTACCAAAAATCACGCGTTTAGCTTGTTGACAGTCTAGAGTTCACAATTTTTATTCACCCACATTTTCATGACAGAGACAGGCGACCCATATTCCTGAAGCAATGGCCCGAAAAACCGCTCTCTGGCCACTGCTGGATTGGCTTCTGATACTTGAGCTTTCCAGGGATTATCTCTATTCTTCCCGTTCAATCAAATCTATCAGAAGTACCGCAACATAACAGCCCTTCGTTTAATTTGGGGTCTTAACTATTAAAAACGGTGAAAGTATTGTTCGACTTCAAACAGTATTGTTTACATTGTTTACGTTTAGTTTTTCTGCAATATTCTGCTATGCACTGGTTAATTGGACATCATGACGTAACGTTGTGTAAACATATTTGGTCCAATTTTGAGCACTGTTTAAACCGTAATGATATTGTTATGCAGTTAGCTATTGGTTGTTAATCGGACTATTGTCCAGTCATAATTTGGAACAGAAATCTGCTTCCATTACTGCGAGGAGTATGCAGGCGACCATGCACGCTGTAACATAACCCAGTTGAAATTCGTAACAAAAAGCCATTAATTTAAAGGTTTTTTTTATAATTTATTTTTTTCCAAAACATGATCTAGATCAAAGTTAGTACGTAGCAATATCTGGAAAATAAGAATAGTTACTTTATTATTAATTGAAAATATAGCACAAAGATGTGTGACCCTCTTAACTTACATAAATTGAACGCTTGAAAATTGTGATGCTTTCGACAGCCTCTGCTGTTGTTCACATGACATATGAAATGCGGTTGAAACTATAAAAACTAAACGAAATAGGATCTATGTATTTATCAAATTGAAAGGTTATTCAAAATTTATAATTTAAGCACTGTAATATTTACCCTTTAGATTCCATTTGCTGCCAAAAGAGCAGTAAGTTCTGAAATTTATAATATAAATTATATTTATAAATAAATACAATTCAATGCCTTTTTTCTGATCGATTATATATTTCACAAACTTGAAATAAGTTATATAGAACAAGTATTTCAGCCTTCAATGACCAGAGCCTTATCTACGGGCCAATTCGTTATTACAGTTCTTCAAAGATGGCGAATTATATATACATAGAGGTAAAGGTTTTATGCTTGTCCGAATATTATGTTAAAGATACATTATGGGAGATAAGATAAAGAGATGGCAGTTCTCGCTATAATAGTTAAAAAAAAAGATAATGTAAAGGTAATTTGCTGAAAATTTCAGTCAAATTGATCCACTATGAGCCGAGAAAGAAGCGGGTGAAATTTTTGCATAGTCTCGGTCATCATTACTAAAATCATTAATATAAACAGCATAGTCTCGATTATCCACTTTTATTGATTTAATTATCAATAGCCGTTAGCGGCATATAGGAATCTAATCCAGCCAACATCGAAGGCTAGCCTTGACATCGAGAGTTTATTATGGTCTGGATAAGTTAATTAATGTCTAATTGATAATTTAGATAACATTTCAGGCCTAAAGAAAGACTTGTAATAAGCAGATTGTGCTCTTGCATAAAGTGACTGATAAGCTTACCTTTTTCGAAAAGGGCTGGAAGACCGGCCATTGTCTCTTTTACAAGATCACCAATTTTGTTTACATCTAGGGAACCAATCACCTGACCAATAAGTTGTTGTAAAACATCAACATCGGCGGCGTCTCTCTTTCCAATTTTAGAGATGAGACTGTTCAACTCTACAAATGATAACAGTTACAAAAACTGTATCCAATCACTAGACTTAAATAAGAATTTTGATTAATGATCTCTGTCCCAGACAAATATACTGAAAACTAGGCACATTTGTCTACGGAGTACCCTTTCCATTGTTACTGGTTTAATAGCTTTTACCCAGGAGTGCTAGAAACATACGGGATAATATATTATATAATCACCGCTCGCGTTCTCTTCTCATTGTCTTCTCTTCTTGTGAACATTTAGTTTGTTATCGGAACCATCCGTTCATGATCGCATCTTGAGAAGCTCGCTGGCAACCGTGGGATTGCCCTTGTGTATGGCTTGTTATTTCTTTAAATGCATGTTGCGGGTAATTATGTGAGGACTAGAATATATGTCATGAAGTTAATTTAGAAACTGTTATAGGAATAATCTGTTCATGACCGCATCTTGACGAAACTCGTAGGAAACCACAAGAATGTCCTTGAGACTGGCTTGTTCATTCTTTAAATGCATATTACAAGTAATTATATGAGGACTAGAATATGTCATGAAATGTAACATAGAAACTATGAGTTTAAAAACATGTTACCAGTAAATATATCAGGACTAGAATATGTCATGAAGTTACACACCGTGAGTTTAAATACATGTTACTAGTAATTATATGAGGACTAGAATACGTCAGGAAGTTAGTTTAAATATCTGTTACCAGTAAATACATCGGGACTAAAATATGTCATGAAGTTCATTTACACACTTTAGTTTAAATACGTGTTACCAGTATATATATCGGGACTGAAATGTGCCATGGAGTTATCAAGACACTATGGGTTTAAATACATATTATCAGTAATATTCCATGAAGTTAATTTAGACACCACGAAATTGATGCAATTCAAATTTCATATTGAATATTTCGCACACAGTTATTCCACTTAAGATTTTCTCAAAAGATCAAATTAAAAAAAAAACTCACTCTCAGTGGCCAAACCAGTCAAACTTTGTAGAGCAGATTGTTCAACACCGACAATAGATTGTTCTACTCCACTCAACAAATCTTTGAAGATATTTCGCTTTCCTACAAAATGATTAATAATATGGTTGTATAATATCGATTTTTTCAGAAAGTCCTATTCTTGTATTCCGATAAGCCTAAAAACACACAGAAACTCTTAACAGGTCTTATATTCAGACATATCGGACAAAAAAGTCTAAATACTAGCTGACTTTTGTAAATCAATTCAAACCTTAATTGACAATATCCCGTTGAAATTATCAACAGACAGTATACTTACCGATTTTACTGATGAGGGAATTCAGTTCTGTAATAAATAAAATATAAGGATATCATGTAAAATGTTATAGCTATTATGTTTTGATATATTGACGCTTATTATTACAATATTGCAAACATTATATTGTAACCAGACCTTATAACATGCTACGGATATTCTATTACCAGGATTCAATCGACCGGGGCTAACATTTACAGCCCAAACTCAGTGAAAATATGAATTATTTTTGTCGGTCTCGATTGAAATTGAACCCCAAAGTTATCCGAGCCTTTAGGGCCGACATACATTTTTCGTATTTAAATTGATTTTAGACTGTATGGTCTAATCGGCCACCCTTTGAAAACTTATAAACGGCTATTAAAATCTCATATAATGAACATGGTATACATGTAAAGGTTATAGCTATTATATTAAAATATGACATAGCTATAATCGTGACCTACGATGGATTCTTAAACAACATTTATAAATTCAAGTAATAAATCATTCATAATATACGTTTTGAGACGTCTTACATAGAGGAGGGGGGGGGGTATTTCCAGGATTCATCAGACATTTAATCTTGCTAGCCCTTTTGCTAATATTTTATATTTCCAAGTTCGATTGTCGGCTAGACAATACGAGTCTGTTGGTCTTGCGTAGTGGCTCCAAAAAACAATCTGACACTATCCTGTGTTTCACAGAAGAAAAAATTAACAAGGTAAGAGCTTCAAAGATTTCATTTTTATGACAACTGTTTCTACCTTACTTGTATTCACGTTGTGTTTGTCTAAATCCGTGTATAAACAACAATAATACAGGAAACTACAAGTTAAATGGAACATCTATGTTTTTAAACGTTATATAATAATATTATAATTTAAAATACAAAATACAGATGTGACGTCATCCTTTGATGTTGGCGTACCATTATTTCAAATAATCGTACGGGCAATGTGCCAAGTGTAACTAGTTAAAATATTGAACCTAAGTGACGTATTTCATTGCAAAGCACGTGACAGTGTCTGTATTTTGTGTAGTTTAATATTCGAGTACGAGACATTAAGTAATATATTAATATTTTACGGATGTGATAGCACGAGGGCAATATTTATATATTACGCAATGTCTTGCACGAGACCATTAGACAACTTAAAATACAGACACTATCCAGCACGCACATTTCAATGAAATGCGTCACGCGGGTCCAATATTGCGACTAGTATAAATAATGTACGATTGGCACATTGCCCGTACCATTATTTGAATTAATGGTACGCCAACATCAAAGGATGACGTCTAATCTTTTATTTAAAAGTTGTTTAATGGTCTCGAGCTTAAGACATTGCTTAATATATTGTAAAAACATTCGGGCCTCACAGCCCTCTTGTTGTTACAATATAATGTCTCGCTCTCGACCATTAAACAATACATAATGAACTTTATAAACATATTATTAAATTGTCATTACAGACAGCTTAATAAGAACACTTTACACTCACTATCTGTGGCCAAACCAGTCAAACTTTGTAGGGCAGATTGTTCAACACCGACAATAGACTGTTCTACTCCACTCAACAAATCTTTGAAGATGTTTCGCTTTCCTACAAAATGATTAACAATAATATGGTTGTATATTATCGATTTTTCAGAAAGTCCTATTCTGGTATTCCGATAAGCCTAAAAAAACACACAGAAACTCTAAACTGGTCTTATATTCAGACATATCGTATGTAGCCGACTTTTGTAAATCAATTCAAACCTTATTTGACAATATCTCTTTGAAATTATCAATAGACAGTACACTTACCGATTTTACTAATGAGGTTATTCAATTCTGTAATAAACAAAATGTAAGGATATCATGTAAAATATTACAGCTATGATTTTGTGATATATTGACGCTTATAATTACATTATATTCTAATACGATGAACTTTAGATAACTTAATAAGAACGCTTTACACTCACTATCTGTGGCCAAACCAGTCAAACTTTGTAGAGCGGATTGTTCAACACCAACAATAGACTGTTCTACCCCTTTCAACAAATCTTTGAAGATGTTTCGCTTTCCTTCGATTTTCTTGCCTATTTCTTAAACAAAACAAAAGTAAACAAAGATTAGTAAATTGACCCGATCAAACTAAAGTAGTTAGGAGCTTAACTCATCATTCGCAATGGTATTCATGGACGTCGGCGAAAATTATAACAGTTACGTGCGGAATAAAATTATTATAAAAAGATTCCATGAGTTTTTACACTCAGAATGAAGATAATTAGGCGAGTCTGAGTAACATCAAATAGGATTGTGTAATCTCATGTAATTACTTGTTAACACTTACCATGTCCTGCAACATTTGCAATGGTGTCAACAGCAGCCTTCTCCAAAAGATCAACAACGACGCTTCCTAAACCACGTTTGCCTAAATGTTTATCGATATATTTACCGATCTCTTAAATAAAAGATATGTATATTTATAGTCCAGTAAGAAGTAATGATAGGTAATCGTGAATATGAGCAGAGACAGAAAAGAAGTATGCTACGGTCGAATCATGTTCGAGTGTCAAGGCAACTGTTTAAAGGTAGCCTCGTTGAGTGAATCGAGCGTCATCTTTAAGTGGAAAACTCATAATAATTTCTAAACACGACATATTTCAAAAGTAGTGCTAGAGCATCCCTCTGTCTCTGATCGGTACAAATGGTGCTATTGGCTGTGAACGATGTTAATGATTTGTACAAAATTGGTGAGAACAGAGGGTGACATTAATGTATTCTGCCAAATCAGATAATAATAATAATAATAATAATAATAATAATAATTTATTTGTAGAGCGCCTATAATCCAATATTTTGATTGCTCTATGGCGCTCTTACATTATGGTAAAAGTATAAAATATAAAACATCTCAAGAATAACATCTCATGACAACCATATGGAAAGAAATTAAACTTACCGTGTCCAGCGACCTCGGCAGCGGTAGATACGGCAACTTTTTCAGCGAGATCAATAGCAACCGCTTGCCATTGTCGTTTTCCGATGTGAAGATGTCCCAAAAGGTTGGTGGCAATGTGTCCAATTTCACCTGTCAATTCTATAAGTAACCGTTTTACCATAAGTCATTAAAATATATTGACATAAGGATTTCGATGCTTTCAGTTTACTTTTACATCCTACAATTACCTATTTTAAAAAGAGGAAAAACTACTTACTGGTGACAGCGGTGTTGATGACCGTATCAATGACTGGGGTCAAAGAGTTTTCGACAGATGTGATGGCAGTTCCTTTCAGGGCCTCCAACAAATCGTGGCCAGTGTTTCTCTTGCCAATGTGTCCGAGAAGCTTGCCTATAGCTCCTGTGAGCTGACCGGTCAATCCTATAAATTAAATACGATAAGAATTTATTTTACCATCTATAATATGGGGATGATTTTTATCGTATCGCTCCCGCAAACACACCTTGAATATTTCTACCCTTAAAAAATTCCAGCAAGTACGATATTATTGAATTTTAACCAGATTGCCAGATTGTGAATTATGTGTTCGTATGATCTTTATTGCACTAATATTTAACAAAATGATCTTTTTTTCTCGTGATCGTGGCTGAATCAAGATACTGGGTCACTTTGAACAATAAAGAAACACTAGAACAAAGAGGTATGTTTGTAGATCTACAAAGATATTTAAAATCATAAGATATTACACTTCTTAAAAGGGTAAGATTGTACCTGAAACAAGCTGATTGACGGCATTGCTGACAACACCAGTAGCAGCAGTAGTCAAGGAGTCGATGGCAGATCCTTCCAACGCTTTCAACAAATCTTTACCGGTACTTCTCTTGCCAATATGTCCGATCAAATTTGATATAACACCTGTGAGTTTACCTGTCAAACCTGGAATATTCGAGCGTTGTTAGTTCATAAGAACAAAACATAATAGTATAATTGTTTGCTTCTCGAATTAGCTCAGAAAAAATGTTTTTCCTTAGTGTCAGTATGGCGTAACATCGAATTTGTTTATTTGTGCTCCGATACAATTGTCATTCGTGTATTTATCCTTAGCTAATATATGGTTCTTAATCATTATTGACGTCACAGGCCCATTCTTTAATTTAGTGTGGACCGGGGACATGGATGCTAAGCAGTCGGTAAAAAGTTGATTAGAGTAGTTGAGGTTATCCATCAAAAGTTCTCACTTTTCATCCTTGGTTCCGGTGGGATTGTCAATGAAAGTGCGTCTAGTTGTTCAGTGTTCCTAAAATAATCCTGTAACATTTGAAATTTTAAGAAACTTAGGTGGGAAAACCACGAAGAAGTCGGGTAATCGGTTTAAAAGAATGTATTTACCGGAGACAAGATTGGTGACGACATTGCTGACAACACCAGTAGTAGCAGTTGTCAAGGAGTCGATGGCAGATCCTTCCAATGCTTTCAACAAATCTTTACCAGTATTTCTGGTTTGATGAGATTGTAAGTGAAAAACATTTTGAAGCTCACTTTTAATTTCTGCAAACAAATAGCACGAAAAAATAAAAATATGGCCAAAATGTTTTATGAGTATTAGTCAGTAATAAGATATTAGGTTTGAACATTCAATATATATTAAGATAAATAAATACACCAGCAAGATTAGGTTTGATTACTCAACATCCATTAAAAGGAGAAATTGTATTACTTTGGCATAATTAAATTAAAATATTTAATTCGCATTAATCAATAGATAGATAATATTAGTACATGATTAGGTTAGAATATTCGATACCTATTACTAAGATAATTAATGTGGAATTCCGGACAAGTGTTACAATAAGATTATTTAATACACGGGCTTAAGAGATCGAAAGGGTAAGCATTCAGGATGTGGCACTGAATTATTCCGAACGCATCTAAAAGCAACTTTACCATTTAACTTGAACTTTTCGATTTCAAAAATGTCCAAAATACAAGTTTCAATCTACAAATGGTATAGATGATCTTATTAAATAACTTTTTAATTAAAACTTACTCTGTTCAGCTTCGTAGATGAGATGCTGGGCAGTGGTTTCCAACTGAGACTTCAAGTTCTTCTCAAAGGTAGCAATATCTGAAATAAGGCATACATTACTGGCAATGCACTTTTTCTTCAAGAATATGAAACATGACCCCTAGCTGGCTTAATCGTCAATTTGTCAATTCATCTGCTTCATAGGGCCAAACAACTTTATGTTACACATATTTGCATATATTCATTATCTGAATGAGAAAATTTATTCATTGAATAAATTTGAATAATCAACACCCAAGCAACATATCTTGGAAGCAAGTGAATTGTGTAGAAAATGAAAAACATCTAAATCGGTGACATTGATAGCCATTAGCAGTCATATTTACATGCATTTGAGTTTATGCATTACCATTGCAACATATTTACAAAATGTGAACAAACACGTTTAAATACCCCCTTCAACAGACCCAAATAACATACCTACCCATTTTGGTTGAAGTTATTATTTTAGAAAATGTCCCCAAAATGTCTGAATACGCTTCTATGGGAAATGAAATGAAATGAAATGGGGTTTAACGTCCTACTGTTCTGCTCCTAACCTGGGCTAATGAAGACGGGCATACGCCATACAGTGTGCTATGAGGGAAATTTTGCCCGGGCAGCGGCACTACGGCCTACTCTTATATCGAATTCTAACTGCCAAGGGATCTTTTACGTGCACGCCAATGTGTACACGGGACCTCGGTTTTTCGTCCCATCCGAACGACTAGACAGCTTTCCTTGTCAGCCCCTCCGTCCTGCATCACTGACAAGGGAGAACCACGCCGGAAAATCTGGATGAACTTTCTCGGCCAATGCAGGGATCGAACACCCGACCTCCAGGCTAGCGAGCTAGCGTCTTACCCACTTAGCCACGTGATCCCCGCGCTTCTATGGGACTGATAACCTTGGTGTTAAGGAATCGGTACCACCCAAACAACATTCCTACACAATTTGGTTTAAATTCAATAAGTATTTCAGAAGAAACAGTCGAACATTTCTCAATTTCCCCTTTCATATGGTCACTTTAATTTAACGAAATAGGAATAAGAGCCACCCAAGCAACTTACCGACCACTAGAGGTGCTGCCACACAGGCAGTAGCCAAGAGCAAACAAATGATTGGAGTGTACATTTTCTGAAACAAATATTTCATAGGTATATAGACTTATAAACATAGATAAAAATTATTAGTAAGCAGAAATTTGCCCGTGTACCTGTTATCACTCATCACTTAGGTCAGTTAAATAAAAGGGTAACTTCTCTTTCTTGCAATCGTCATAACGCGTCTATCGTAGTAAGGATCTCTGTGTTCTATCATTATATGTAATAATGACTGACACAAATATTGTCCTTTAATAATAACAAAAATAAACCAATTTGGTCCGAAAATGATTGAAATCAATCAATTGACTTCCTCTTTGAATACATAAAGTAACACTAATTGTGCTATCGTTATTGCACAAGCCAACGCATAGTACATAAATTTGAATTTTGAAATATACGAGATTATTGGAGAATATGGACATTTCTAAATTGTGAATTCAAAACGTTTACACATTGGTGTTTGAATGACCCATATAGATATGCAATCCAAGGAATACTTACCAATAGGCTTATGTCCTATGCACTGCAACTGCAAATATATGCTTGACACCTTTTCCTTTTATACTCAACAGATAAGAACATTTGTGTTCTTTCAGGACCATCCTAGAACTTCTCACAAAGTAGATTCCTTATGGTGTCACGATTAAATGATTTGGATACCATAAATAAAAATTTCAAAGATACACCATGAAGTATTCACATAAGTGTTTGAGCATTTGAAATCAAGTGATTTCTGAGCCATATGGGGTCGTTGGGAGTTGCTTAGCGGTCCAATGTTGGACACATTATCAGTTATATTTAAAACATTGACTGTGGATCTACTATATTAAATGTAGACAGACACACACCAAATTTTATAAAATCAATACTTTTACATTTACCCAAATATTAGAAAAGACAGCTCACTGTTTTAGATTAACCATTATTTCATGAAATGGCTTCATTCAAAAACTACCTATGGCTATTCCTATGAACAACGCGATTGTGTATAATAGATTCTGTTATTTGTTATGTACATGTTATTGTTATTTTCGGGAATGGGGCAGGTTACGTATAGTGATCTAGGCATCGCTGAACTTGAGAGGGGGGGGGGGGACAAACACATGATTCAATTATATTTCAATAAATTGTTTGCCCGTAGGGGTCTTTAGCAGTGGGGGGAAACAGGAGTACAGGGAGAAAACCCACGAGGTTGGACAGGCGACCCCATTCATTATCACCTTGTCATGTACAACCGGGAAATCAAAACTACGCCAGTTGACTCAATGGCAGACCTTTCCATTCCGCCATCCAACCCCCCTCCAAATATAGACTGACGAAAGGCTTGGAATATTTTAGTTTCATCTTACTTTGGATGTTTATATTTGGAGAGTTTATGCACGGTAATGGAGTATTTACTGCAGCTATTTTGGGGCACCTTACCACAGATATTTCCAAATTTAAGCAGGGTCACCAAAGGCGCTCAAAATGTTGGTTACCCAGAAAGCCTACAAAGGGCGCTAAAATGGAATTGTCAATGGGGCACCATTACTAAATCTGACCTCCCCTGTTTCCGACCTTCCCACCACGCCACTACTAACTCTTAAGCTCCTGGGGATATAGCGACAAAGATGGGGCTTTACCCTTTACTTAAAATTTATTAATTCTATAGACTATTATTACAACATCAAAAATGGGTAAATTACATCCCTCATTTTGTAATGCACACCTTTTAGTTATATGTATGAACATAAGTTCGGTTTCTACCCTAATAACAATTTGCTCACTTTGAAGCCGGGGGAGCCACGGTGACCCAGTGAGTACGGCGATAACTCGCCAATCAGATTGTGTTGGGTTCGCACCATGTGTTGGTCGAAAAAGTTACTCCTCTGGGTTATCCGATGTGGTACAGGTTCGGATGGGTGGAAAAAAACTAGAAGATCCCCTGAACACATTGGCGTGCACGTAAAAGAACCTTCGATATTTGGAATTCGACATAAGAGTAGGCCGTAGCCACGCTGTCCGAGCAAACAGGGCAGAACATGGCATATGCCCGTCTTTATGAGTCTTATCAGTGCAGAAAAACAGGATGAACGCCATTTCATTTGAAGCCCAGCTATTTCCGTACATAGTGAATTTAATATTCATAACATTAGCATGGTTGTGTTTGTTGTTGTTGTTGTCATGCCTAACATTACTTATTTTTGGAGTTATCTCTCTTAAAATATACTTTGCAGTGTACGGTACCATATTGATTACCCCCAAAGTTTTGGAAAAGGTGACTTATAACGAAAAATCCTCTTTCTGGTCTTCGCAATTCTAAATATCAGTTGATTGTCACCTTAACAAGAACGGTATACCCCCAGATACCCCGCAGATATCTTTAGCAGTAAATGGGCATTTGAGAAAACCTATGAAATAGCAGTCAGGCGACCATGTACCCTGTAACATAACACAACCCAATTGCTGACAGTCTTGAAATTCGTAACACGAAGCAATTAATATAAAGGTTTTTATTTATAATTTATTTATTTCCAAAATGTATTCTAGATAAAAACAATTAGCACCTTTACGTAGCAATACCTAAAAAAATAAAAACAGTTACAGTAATATTATTCGAACATATAGCAAAAGGGTGTGTAACCCTCTTAGCTTATATAAATTAAACGCCTAAATATTATTATGCTTTCAACGGACTCTTCTGTTGTCCAGAGACAAATAACGTCATTTTAACTGTAAAAACGAAATGAAATGGGATCTATGTTCAATCAAATTGAAATTTTAATTAAAATTTTTAATTAAAGCATTGTAACATTTACCCTTTAGATTCCGTTTGCTGTCAAAAGAGCAGTAAGTTCTGAAATTTAAAAAAGAAATGACAATTAAGAGTACTATTATTTTCTTCGGTGATATTCCCCTCTTTACGGAATGTCAAGGTCATTAGATAAATACAACACACGGAAGAGAAGAAATCAAATATGATCTTAAAAGCAAGGCCGTTAAAGCATTATTAGCAACGTGAGCAATGTAGGGCCATAGAATAATGACAGATTATCTCCAACTGTCGTTCTTTTACCTACCAAAATATTAGAATTGTCGATTAAAACGAATGTCCAAAATTGTTTGTAAATGTTAGTTTGATGGCTAATCTTTACAATACATATAGGGGATCGATGGCATTTTGGTAAATATGGCTATGCAGTATTTGAAATCATAATTCTATGCCAGTGTGTTACTGATGGTTTAGATGTTTCCCATATACACGCTTTAATAACTGGGAAACAGTGGTTTTAATCCCCGAAATGGATAACCAAGATGGTAGCAGATTTCGATGACATGTCACTTTGTTTGTTTGAAATATCGACTTTAAACTTTAGGATAGAATATGGTTTTATAGCCCTTATGATCAAAATCTCTACAGGCTAATTTATTTTAGAATTCTTCTAAGATATGCACACAACGGTAATAGTTAGGGTTAGTCAGAATATTGTGTTAAGGGATTGAAAAACTTGCCTTTTTCGAAAAGAGCTGGAATATTGGCCAATGTGTCTTTTACAATATTGGAGATATTGTTTAAATCCAAGGAACCAATCACCTGACCAAGAAATTGTTGTAAAACGTCTACATCGGCTTCTCTCTTTCCAATATTAGAGATGAGATGGTTCAACTCTGTAAATGATAACAAAAACTAGACTTAAATAAGAATACAGCTCAATTTGCTCTGTCCCAAGAAAATAATAACCACTTTCCATTATGTGGTATATATACGTCAATAGTTCACAGTCATGTAATCATTGGCGTGTACGTAAAAGAGGCCTTGACAGTTGGAATTCAAATATAACAGTAGGCCGGATAGAATTTCACTCATAGCACACTGTATGGCGTAAGCCCGTCATCATTAGCCCTGTTGATGCATCAACGTCGTACGTTAAACCCCATTTCATTTTCATAAAGGTCGATCCTGAAATTTTATTCATTTTTAGCAAACGTTCATCATAAACTTCACTGTATGTTGTGTAGATCTTTTGCCCGGTATACTTACTTTATGTAAAATATTTTTATATAATGACTTTACGTTGTGTTTGTTTAAATCCGTGTATAAACAACAATAATACACGAGACTACAAGTTAAATGACACATATATGTTTTATATTCTAATATAATGAACTTTATAAACATTTATAATCATTAAATTGTCATTATCTTCTAATATGATGAACTTATAAACATTAAATTGTCATTATCTTCTAATATAATGAACTTTAGACAGCTCAATAAGAACGCTTTAAACTCACTATCTGATGCCAAACCAGTCAAACTTTGTTTGAGCAGATTGTTCAACGCCAACAATAGACTGTTCTACCCCACTCAGATCGTGTAAAGCGTTATAGCTACGATATTCTTCGGCCTCGATCGAAATTGGTCCCCAATGTTGAATATTCCCATTGGGCTGACATCAATGGCCATCAGTCACAAACTTATGAACAGCAGTTATATTTTAATATAATGAGCTACAAATGGTAAATACATAACATATAGCTTAATAAGAACAATCTACACTCACTATCTGTAGCCAAACCAGTCAAACTTTGTAGGGCAGATTGTTCAACACCAACAAGAGACTGTTCTACTCCACTCAACAAATCTTTAAAGATGTTTCGCTTTCCTACAAAATGATTAACAATATAGTTGTATAATATCGAATTTTACAGAACGTTATTACTGTAATTCAGATAAGCCTAAAAAATACAGAGGCTCTAAGCTGTTCTTATATTCAGACATATCGGACAAAAAAGTCTGAGTATGTAGCCGACTTTTGTTCATCAATTCAAACCTTATTTGACAATATCCCGTTGAAATTATCAACAGAAGTATACTTACCTAATTTACCGATGAGGCTATTCAATTCTGTAATAAACAATATGTAAGGATATCATGTAAAATATTACAGCTATGATATTGTGATATAATGAGGCTTATAATTACAATATTGCAAACAATATACTGTAACCAGATCTTATAACATGTTGCAGATATTCTATTATCATGTTGGGTCAACATTTACAGCCCAAACTCAGTGGAAATATGAAATATTTATGTCGGCCTCGATTGAAATTGATCTCCAAAGTTATCCATACCGTTAAGGCCCACATACATTTTCGTATCTAAATTGATTTTAGACTGTATGGTCAAATCGACCATCCTTTGAAAACTTATGAACAGTTATTATAATCTCTTATAAACCTGTAACGGTAAATCTCTTTGATCTTTGGTGTATATTCTATGCCCGGAATAACTTGAGGTCTGAAAGTCGGGGACGGCTTTGGATATATACAGGGAAATTTGGGGTTATTCTTCTGAAAGTTTTTCTTTAAACCTATAACAGGTTATTCTAGTCTATTGCTAGTCCTTTTGCTAATATTTTATATTATTAATTCCAAGTTCGATTGCCGGTAAGACATTACGAGTCTGTTGGTTTTGCGCCGTGGTTCCAAAAACAATCTGACAATATCCCGTGTTTCACAGCAGCCAAAATTAACATGGTAAGAGCTTCAATGTTGATTTCACATTTATGACAACTGTTTCGACCTTACTTGACTTTACGTTGTGTTTGTTTAAATCCGTGTATAAACAACAGTAATACAAGAGACTACAGGTTAATTGGCACATATATGTTTTAAACGTTATATAATATAATGAACTTTATAAACATTTATAATCATTAAATTGTCATTATCTTCTAATATAATGAACTTTAGACAGCTCAATAAGAACGCTTTAAACTCACTATCTGAGGCCAAACCAGTCAAACTTTGTAGAGCAGATTGTTCAACACCAACAATAGACTGTTCTACCCCACTCAGATCGTGTAAAAACGTAATTGGTCCCCAAAGTTGAGCATTCCCATTGAGCTGACATCAAGGACCATCACTCACAAACTTATGAACATCAGTTATATTTTAATATAATGAGCTACAAATGGTAAATACATAACATATAGCTTAATAAGAACAATCTACACTCACTATCTGTAGCCAAACCAGTCAAACTTTGTAGAGCAGATTGTTCAACACCAACAAGAGACTGTTCTACTCCACTCAACAAATCTTTGAAGATGTTTCGCTTTCCTACAAAATGATTAACAATATAGTTGTATAATATTGAATTTTACAGAACGTTATTTCTGTAATTCAGATAAGCCTAAAAAATACAGAGGCTCTAAGCTGTTCTTATATTCAGACATATCGGACAAAAAAGTCTGAATATGTAGCCGACTTTTGTAAATCAATTCAAACCTTATTTGACAATATCCGGTTGAAATTATCAAGACAGTATACTTACCGAGTTTACCGATGAGGCTATTCAATTCTGTAATAAACAATATGTAAGGATATCATGTAATATATTACAGCTATGATATTGTGATATAATGAGGCTTATAATTACAATATTGCAAACATTATACTGTAACCAGATCTTATAACATGTTGCAGATATTCTATTATCATGTTGGGTCAACATTTACAGCCCAAATATTTATGTCGGCCTCGATTGAAATTGAACCCCAAAGTTATCCATCCATACCTTTAGGGCCGACACACAATATTCGTATTTAAATTGATTTTAGACTGTATGGTCAAATCGACCATCCTTTGAAAACTTATAAACTGCTATTATAATCTCATATAATGGTTATAGCTATTATATTAAAAAATAAATACCATTATCATCCGGTAAGATGACATAGCTATAATCTTGACCTACGATGGATTATTAAACAACATTTATAAATTCAAGTAATAAATCATTCATAATATACGTTTCTGAGACGTCTCTCCGGGGGGGGGGGGGGTATTTCTAGCATTTATCAGACATTTCATCTTGCTAGCCCTTTTGCTAATATTTTATATTATATGTCCAAGTTCGATTGCCAGTAAGACATTACGAGCCTGTTGTCTGTTGGTCTTGCGACGTGGTTCCAAAATTGTCACTACAGTCTAATATAATGAACTTTCGACAGCTTAATAAGAACGCTTTACACTCACTATCTGTGGCTAAACCAGTCAAACTTTGTAGAGCAGATTGTTCAACACCAACAAGAGACTGTTCTACTCCACTCAACAAATCTTTGAAGATGTTTCGCTTTCCTTCGATTGTTTTGCCTAGTTCTTTAACAAAACAAAAAGTAAACAAAGTTTAGTATATTGACTAAAAGAGTGGGGTTTTTAATTCATCCTTCGCGATGGTATTCAAGAATGTCGGCAAAAGTTCTTGAAAGTACGTTAAACATTACGTGTTGAATAAAATTATTACTTTATAAAAATATTTTGGGTGTTTACAGTATCGATAATCAGGTGAGTATGATTAACATAATGATTATATGATTGTGTAATTAATTGCATTTATTTTGTTCTTAGAACTTACCATGTCCTGCAACACTAGCAATGGTTTCAGTGGCAGCCTTCTCCAAAAGATCAACAACGATGCTTCCAAAGCCACGTTTGCCAAAATGGTCGATAAATTGACCGATCTCTTAAATAAAAGATATGTGTTTGTATTTCAATAAAAATTAATTGATTGATGTATAAAAAAACATCTAACATTGTTAATTCCCTCTAAAACTATATCATATATATACATATATACAAAATATGTAAATGATTTGCATAAAATGTGTAATTGGTCTGTATAAAATGGATTATTGATTTGTATAAAATGTGTTATTGATCTGTATAAAATGGACTATTGATTTGTATTAAATGTGTAATTGATCTGTATGAAAGGGATTATTAATTTGTATAAATCAATCGGTACAAATGGTGTAGTTTAATTATAAGAAAATTGGTGAGTACAAAGGGTGCAATTGGTGTGAACAGAAGGTGACCTTGATTTGTTCTGACAAATCTGATAAATTAAATACTAACATGATGTGTACACTATGGCCTTTCTTATAAAATGATCTGCCCTATCCATAAACATACTGTTAATAATATTGTTTAGTCTATCTGGATGACAATCATATGCAAAAACTTTAAACTCACTGTGTCCAGCGACCTCGGCAGCGGTAGATACGGCAATTTTTTCAGCGAGATCAATAGCAACTCCTTGCCATTGTCGTTTACCGAAATGTAATTTTCCCAAAAGACCGGTTGCAATGTTTCCAAGTTCACCTGTCAATTCTACAAATAACAATTTTACAATGAACCATTAAAACATATAGATATGAATTTTTAACGTCAAATTCCCAAGTTAATAGATTCCAATCAGTGGTGTTTACAAAATTCCCCACATGCATTTCTTAAATTACTTGAATTGATAATAACTTAGTGTTATATATAGTACAGTTGGAGCTGTGAGTTGAACTTGCAATTTCCTATTTTAAAGAGAAGAAGGACTACTTACTGTTGACAGCGGAGTCAATGGCATGGTCAATAACTGGGTTCAAATGGTTTTCGAGAGATGTTATGGCGCTTCCTTGCAAATCCGCCAACAAGTTTCTCTTTCCAATATGTCCGAGCAGATTGCTTACAACCCCTGTGAGTTGACCAGTGAGTCCTATAAATATTTGTGTCATGTTTAGACCTTATGTAGCAATTCTTTTTTAAATTTACATTAAACCATCTATAAGATGAAAATATATTTTGTTGTGCCGTTTCCACAAACACACATAGGCGATCATGGACTAGGTATGAACGTAAAGAATAATGCATGGAGTACGATATTATTTAAGTTATATTGCCAGATTGTGGATTATGTGTTCATATGATCTTTAATGCAATGATGTTTAACATAATGGCCTGTTTTCTCGTGATCGAGGATGAATCAATACATTAGAACAATTTGGACAATAACAAACACCCGAAGAGAGAGGCATTTGTTTAGTTCTACAAAGATATTTAAAATCATAAGATATTACACTTCTGTAAAGGGTAATATTATACCTGAGACAAGCTGGTTGACGACATTGCTGACAACACCAGTAGCAGCAGTGGTCAAGGAACTAATGGCAGTTCCTTCCAAAGCTTTTAACAAATCTTTACCGGTACTTCTCTTTCCAATATGTCCTATCAAATTTGATATAACACCTGTGAGTTTACCTGTCAAACCTGGAAGATTAGAGCGTTAGTTCATAAGAAAAATAACAGTATAATTGCTAGTTCTTAATCGTTAGTTACGTGAAACCCATTTTTTAAATTTAGTTTGGACCGTTAACAAGAATGCTAAATTTGATATATCACCTGTGGGGTGGCCTGTCTAACCTGGAAGATTAGAGCGTTAGTTCATACTTCGTCGCCATCGCTCTGTCACAAAACGAAAATAGCCATAGCAGCTTATGCGAAAGGAAAACTCGGATAACTGTATAATTGCTAGTTCTTAATCGTTAGTGACGTCAGACCCATTTTTTTAATTTAGTTTGGACCGTTAATACGAATGATAAATTTGATATAGCACCTGTGGGGTGACCTGTCAAACCTGAAAGATTCGACCGTTAGTTCATACTTCCTCGTCATCACTTTGTCACAAAGCGAAAATAGCCAAAGCAGTTTGACAAAACTTGGTGATCCTTCAAAACACCTTATCTGTATCGTGTTCAAATCCATTAAAAACTGCAGTCAATATCGCGTTCGTAAGGTGTTAAGAAAGGCTTCGAAATGGAAAGTCACAGAACCCTCAACATAGAAATTACAAGTGATGGACGGAGAACTGGAAATATCGGTAGGGCTCATCCTCCCGTGACCCAATGCTTCACGCCAAATTTGAAAGAAATTCGTTGAAAACGGTAGTCTCGACTGCGTTCTCCAGGTTTTCGGGAAATTGGTGAAACAGGTGATTGAGTAATGCTTAATATCGATAGGGTTTGTCCTGTAATGCTTTTACACAGCTTTCGAAAACGAAATGCTGAATATCGATAGGGTCCTTCTCTCATCACCAATTGCCTCACATCGCAAATTTGAAATCAGTTCAAATTATTCAATATGACTTACTGGAGCTGAAAAATAGATTACACCAGTACGACAGCATTTAGAAAGATAAAATCCCTTGATTGTTGTCGAGGGTAACACCGCCTTTGTGGTTAAAAATAGACTCACAACCAGAATATGCGTTTAGTTGTTGGAATGGTACTATTAAATCAATTTCCCGTATACAAATTGGCGCTGTATGTCCAAGATACCCTGACAGTAGGAATTCGAAGAATATTAAGCGATCAAAACCCGAAAAATTACCGAATATTATTCTCAGTATAACATAAGTAGACTCCGTTACCTGTTATTAGCCAGGCAATTCTTTAGCAGTTAATGGTTAATACTTCGAAGTAATTTTCAAACTTAATATCAAGATGCTGGTTATCAGTTCAAGCGTTAATGACGGTTACGAATTCAATGAGTGCGTCATAATCTATTCTGAATAGTGAACTGATATTCCCTACTAAAATGTTTGAAAAAGAAAAATTATATTTACCGGAGACTAGATTGGTGACGACATTGCTGACAACACCAGTAGTAGCAGTTGTCAAGGAGTCGATGGCAGATCCTTCCAAAGCTTTCAACAAATCTTTACCAGCATTTCTGGTTTGGTGGGTGTGTAGATGGAAAACGTTTTGAAGTTCATTTTTAATTTCTGCAATCAAATAACATGAAAAGAATCTATATGACCCAACTATTTTACGGATGGATTTTCAATCGAATAAATAAAACCCATCTAATAGCAAGTATACAATTTAAATTTAACTTGCGGATTTTATGATTCAGTCTACAAATGAAGTACGTACAGGCCATGGACTTTTTGTTCGAACTGGGTAAGTGTAATGTTATTAATTGAAACTTACTTTGTTCAGCTTCGTAGATGAGATGTTGGGCAGTGGTTTCCAACTGAGACTTCAAGTTCTTCTCAAAGGTAGCAATATCTGAAATAAGGCAATAGTGACTTTTGGCATGCGGAATTTTTACCATCCGTATCACGTATCCGTAGAGTATACGTGATACGTTGCGTCAATGCAGTTTTTGAGTTTTGGCAGATGTTCACTTCGCGTACGTTTGCATCGTTGAGCTGAGCTTAGTTCTATTACATCATGATGGCAGATATCTACCCAGATTACCATACCATCAGTACTGTAATACTATAGGTCTTATTTTAGTACTAAGAAAGGTGTCCTGTTTCATATAGAAATTCTTTACCTACATGATGTGTGACAAAAACTAGGGTAATGAAGTAGCTTGCATTATTCTACTACTATCTTAGACTAACTCACCGACAGTTATGTCAGTATCCATTGCTGGAAGTAGGGTACTATAGTCCAGTCATCTCGTGCACGGATTAGTACAAGTAACTAAAATAGTATTGACGTAAAACGGTGCCTATACGAAACACCCAAAAATGGTAATTGTCCCGCCCTAATAGATGACGCATTATACTTTCTCTGTAGGAGAGAGCTTTTTTCATTTACCCTCAGATGAGACCGTAGGGAAGCCTTTATTCGGAGCTCAAGGGGAACATACCCATCAGCCGCAACGGCTGAGAGGCTGGGATAGAGACAATGTAGTATTTAACCCGTTAGGTCTGAGTTGTAAAGGATGCTAAACTCAGACCGTAGATATTTTAATAACGCCTAAAGTTTCTATAATAGATATTGTAGTTTTCCTGAATTTAACTTTGTAGTTTGCTGTATTTGTTATATAAACTTAGTAAGAACATAAACGGTGTTCCAGAGTCAGTTAATTGATGATTGAAATAATTGATCCCACAACGTGAAGTCGAAGAAAGGCCTAGAAGAAAGTGTCACATCTGTCCAGGATAATGTCACAGTTATGTTTATTTGGTGCCCCGTAGTGCCACAGTACTAGTCAAGTGCCTAGCCTATAATTTCTCGGTGCGAGTGAGGTCGCTCGATAGTCGCTGAGCTATTAAAAACAATTAATGTCGAATCTTATTAAAAAAAAATTCGACTTCGACTCGACAGCAATTTTTGGTTTCACTAATGTATCATTTCAGAAAGTTTAGATTTGTAAGGTCCCACCTCCCTAAATCTAGCACATAGATCAACCAGCATGCTGACAGACAGGAAAAGTATGAAAACCCCGAGAAAAAAACCATCAAAAATAATTATTAAATTCCAGTCTTTATCATGGTTAAAATCACATCAAATATACACCTTCGTGTTCTAGGATACACATAGATTCATAACAAGGCTACGATACAACATTTCAGCGTCTAAAAATAGCAGAAAAGACGGTAAAAAGACGGCAATGTTATACGGACCTTTTCCGTATGAAAGCTGTTCGATACGTGCTCCCGTATCCGCGTTCCGTATCACGTATGCGAAATAACACAGACATTGAAGACGTCACACGCAAATTCCATACGGAGGATACGCGATACGGACCAAGAATTTACGCTTGCCAAAAGTCTCTATATATTATTGTCAATACACTTTTTCTTCAAGAATATGAAACATGAGCCCTAGTGGGCTTAATCGTCAATTTATTTGCTTACATCTGTCCGTTGTGTTACGCATTCCTTTAAAATGTCGTTCAAGTACAATATAGCAAGAAAATGTCGCCATTAATTCATTAATTCAGTAAATTTGACTTGTTTATAAAATGGAAAAAGTCTAATTATGTTCTTCATGGTGACCTTCATAGGCATTAACCATTTACGTAAATTTGAATATATATTTTTGCCAGTGCATCTGACCAATCCTTCTGTAAGCGGTTTGCTTTATCACGTTTAACATTTACCACCCAAGAAACATACCTACCCAACTGAAATTCATTAAGTGATTTAGGAGAAAATGTCCAAAAAGATCTAAATATGCTCCAGAGGGACTAATCACCTACATTTCAAGGAATATCTGCCAAACCACATATAATACCTGCACAGTTATAATTAATACTAATACTGATAATGTCATTAGAGAGAATGATTTGGTGCACAGCTTTTAGAAAAATTCGTTACAAATATATGTATAACAGAGTGCAACTTACCGACCCCTAGAGGTGCTGATAAACAGGCCGTAGCCAAGAGCAAACACACGATTGGAGTGTACATTTTCTGAAACAAATATTCTATAGGTATATAGACCTATAAACTTAGATAAAATTATTAGAAAGCAGAAATTCGCCCGTGTTGATTTATTTACTTTGCTTGCCATGCTTGTTTTATTAAAAAATTTCAAAATAATGAAATCCATTAAAGCAAAATATATAGTTATGGCCATACGAAATTAAAATCAATTTTAATTTTGTCTAAAATGCTTTTAAATCGATAAATGCCGAATAAAGTTTTGGTCATTATAAATTTACATGGTTTTGTATTGATTTCAATAACAGTAGTCTTTGCATTAAGATATATTTCAATTTTGAAATATACGTGAACATTCTGGCTCGTTGTGCCCTTTAATTTGGGATTTAACTGATACTGGCGTGCTGTGGACCAGAAACCGAACGTGACTTTATCACAGCCATCTTGAAATTATTGTAAAATCGAAATCCGTCAGTGAAGCGCAATTGCGAAAGAAACAAAAATATCATTTTTTCTGTCTGGCGGAACCTTATGCTTTTTCGGTGAACGTCATACCCCCCCCCCCCCCAACAAAAAACAAAAAAAACCAATACAAGAAGAACATAATGAGTAGCGCTCAGGGTCCAGTTCCTGGTCAAAAGAATAGATATAAAGTCTTTAGATATTTTAGAATATTAGAATTTCTAAATTGTGAATTCAATTTTTCATACTTTTATTCTACAATTGTTGGTATTTTAGCGGCCCATATAGAATATATAATTACTTTAAGGAATACTTACCAATAGGCTTATGTCTTATGAAAAAAAAATAACATCTGCAAAGATATATTTGACAGCTTTCCTTTTATACTCAACAGATAAGAACATTTGTGTTCTTTCAGGACCATCCTAGAACTTCTCACAATGGTGATTCCTTCAGGTGTCACGATAAAAATGATTTTGATGCCATAAATAAAGATTTCAAAGAAACACCATGAATTATTCACATAAATGCTGGAGCAATTTTGATAATTGGAAATTACTGGGTCCTGTTTCACAAAAATATAAATCTCCTTAAAATCGTCTTAAACTAAAATTTCATCCTAACTTAAGATAGATGCGTTTCACAAAACGATTTTAAGCATTTTAGTTAAAATCCAATAAAATAATATTTTATGTTAGAATTTTATCTTAACTTAAAATAGTGGCGTTTCACAAACCTATTTTAGTGACAATTTTAACTAAAATCAATTTTAACTTAGGGCAATCGTCGTGATGACGACATATATATATGGATATATATATATATAGAGAATAATGATAATGGCCCGGGTCACATAATTTTAACATACCATCATTCACAAAAACAATTCTCATTCGTTATCTTTTAGTATGGGAAATACAGCTACGGTCCACCCGTTTATTTTATTGTAAGGCAATTTAAGCATTTAGATGACGCCCCAAATTACATGTAGAATCCCAAGAACGAAAAAAATACTCAAAACCGCAGTAAACAAAGCCCTTTGTTACTGTTTTATATAACACCATTTGATTCAAGTATAAATTATACTATTTTAAAATAATTAAGAGACATCCCCCCCCCCCAAAAAAAACCAACAAAAAACAAAATGAAAACAAAAAACGCTAAAAGAAAATTACTTTATATCTAATGTTACGGAAGGAAGGGCACTCTTATCTAAAGGCCTACAATGGTTTAAAATGGCCAATTTCTTGGTATTAGAAGGCCTAATGACATGCCATAAGCATAGTATTTTGGGGTTATCATTCGTAAAAAGATAAATCAATAATCCCAAATGTGTTTAGTGAAAAATGTTATAGGCCTATTTGAAATTAAATTTTAATATCATGAATTTATTATTATTTCTTAATGAAGGCTTACGTTAATACAACAACATAACTAAGAGAAATTTTAGGGACCAAAGCTATTTTATCATGGAAAAAATCATTTTATTTGAGTAAGATAATTAGACGCAATACACTCATTTAATTCATTCCTCTCTACGACTGTCTTACCATGTGCCTGATTCTCATCTGATAGGGGCGTTTTCATTGGCAGTGTAAACTAACAGCAACTTTTTGAATACTATTCGAATGTGTGCTTGATATTGGCTAAATATTTGATTTTTTTGTGAGTAGTTTTTAAGTTCGAATGCCACAACACTATTCCATACCCACGGAATGAAGTAAAGGCTTATCACCCTTTTCACGTTCCTACCATGAACCCCACCACGCCCCACCTGCAAAGGCCTTGCCAGGACCTTGTCGCTCCCATCCACGATCTGGCTGGGTTAGATCTATATCATAAGGTCAACTTCAAGTTTGATCACAGGGCTAGTCCTAACCCTAACCCTACAAATATTTATATCCATCGACGTACAGAGCATGTACACGAACATCGATAATAACACAGGTATTGAAGCAGTTAGGAAACCATTTGTTAGGAACCCGCAAGCATCCAAGCCGGACTAAGAAATCCTCGAACTACTCGGCATTTGTCTGTGGAGGAATGACTTAGCTTTCAACGACCAAGTATACCTCCAGTCTTCCGGAACTGCGATGGGAGAACGATTTGGTCCGAGTTATGCATATCTCTTCATGGTGGAGTGGGAAAGTGAAGTTCCGCCACTCTACCCATTAAAACCATATTTCTATGGACGTTTTCTAGATGACGTTTTCACAGTCTGGACGTACACACTAGACGAATATTGGACATTTTTCAACATTCTGAAAAATCATCATCCATCTGTCAAATTAACCGCAAATTTAAGTCTTAACAGCATAGATTTCTTTGACACCACCGTCTTTAAAAGTAGCAACACCAAAAACACGGACCAACTGATAACTAAAGTATTTTTCTAAGAAACTGATACACATATTGTTCAAGAGATCCTTTCACCCCAAACATACCTTCTCTGGCATCATAAAATCTCAGATTCTCCGTTTTCATAGGATATGTACTCAGAAGACCGACTTTGAGTCAGCATGTATGCTTGTATTTAGCAAACTGAGAGAAAGGGGATACTCTAAACGCAATCTCCGACGTATAAAAAGCAACACCCTAGCTGAACTTGCCGCCAAAGACACATAATATGCAATCAGCACTTAAAACCAAAACTTGTGGCCACCCAAGATGTCAACCATGCAAAATCATAAACATATCCGACCATTTCCATAACAAAACATCTGGCACACAATTCCCAATATTAGACCAACTTTCATGCAGTAGTTCAAACATTATTTATCTAATTTCAAACAGACAATGTGACAAACTCAAAATGCACTTAGGGAAAGAATTAACGGTCACCGGTCAGACATAGTCACCGGTCAGACATAGTCACCAGAAAAGACTAACCGTTCTCAATTAAATTCAACCAACCAAATCATGACATTTCTGATCTCATTGTCACGCCAATAGAAAAGGCCAAGGGCGATTTTGAAACTATAGAAGAAATTAAAACGTTAAGGCTAACAAGGGGAACATTCTGGATTGACAAATTGAAAACAACAGCCCCCGTAGGTTTGAATATTCATACGGCTAGCGCCATAGCCCCTTTTGTAGCTCTATTTAGCGCAACAGCAGCAAGTGCATCCATAATCATCAGAAAACACTATAGTGATCTCCAAGAAAATCACCCGAAAATCTTTACACAGAAACTTATAACTGCATATTCTAAAAATAAAAATCTGAACGACATCCTAGTGCACATTAAATTAGACTAAATAACACCAGTCCTCACCCTAACCCAAAGCAAAGAATATATCAAACCCTAGCACTAACCCCTTAGAAAATAAAATCAACTGGTTATAAGAATCCGTAGCCCTAACCCCGGGATAGTGAAAAAAAAACTCATTTTTAGAAAATCCAATCCTTAGTAGGAAACACACTAATGTGGCTCTCACCCGAGAGCCTCAAATTTCTTCTCTTTTCTTCGGAAACCAAAATACCAGAATACCACAGGCCGCACCGAAGGCAGACCATCAGTGCCACCAACACCAAAAAATAGCGACACCAACCTTGTATGTGTTTTTAATAAAAATAGTAGGAAATATCAAGAACCAAATTTACATCATCCTAGGTCAGTGCTTATGTGGAGACTTGATCTCTCCCCCAAATTCTTAAACCTAACCCACGATCTCGTCAACAATCACCGCCTATAACCAAATTTACAGTGAGCCTTAACTTTTAGGAATTACCCGATCTGACTGATTTTTTAAAGTCTTTGCGAGGTCGTGGTGTATGTGTAAAGGTGTTTTTACTAAGATCCGGTTTATTTTTTGTTAACGTAATTGCCATCAAATTTAATAAATTATATGTTTTGAGACAGTTCTGTTTTAATCAGTTTTTTCTCTCTCACAACTGAGGGCCTGACAAGGACAGCTGTCTAGTCGTTCGGGTGGGACGAAAAGCCGAGGTCCCGTGTACACATTGGTGTACACGTAAAAGATCTCTTGACAGTTGGAATTCGACATAAGAGTAAGTCGTAGTGCCACTTTCCGGTGTGTTTCCCTTCCCCCATGTCCGTGGCTTACTAATCTGGAGGTCCGGGATTTGATCCCCGTGTTGACCTGGACAGTTCCCTAAATTTTCCAGCGTTGTTTCCCCTTGTCTGTGGTGCAGGAAGTGTGTAGGGGGGGGGGTGTTTTGGGGGAGGGGGTGATGGGCAGTGTCTAGTTATTCGGATGGCATGTAAAACTGAGGTCCCGTGCACACGTAGACAGTAACGTCGCTGTTTGGACCAAATTCCCCATATAGCACATTGTATGACGTGCGTACATCTTCATTATCCAGGTTGATACCGAACAGTTAGGCATTAAACTCCATATATTTATTTGTTTTCTCTTCATTACAATTGCCACTCTATTTATTTTGTTTTCTCTATTACAATTGCCACTCCCTTACAGTATTATTTAGGTTTTGCCATATATCTATTTTAGGGAGAAAATAACATATCTATAGATGCTTTGTTTCAATTCAAATATTTGTTAGGAATTTAGCCTCAAATCTAATTTGAACTAAAGGTTTACAGATATATTACCGTAAAAATATCAGTATCTGAATCAATGATGAAATATTTTGCTAGCGGCCGACAGTTGAACAAACTATGTGTTATCGCCGTCTCCCAATACTTTTTTAAGTCCAGTCTCCTGAGTCAGTATCCTATACATAAAAAACCTAGTTACTCTTATTATGGAAACCGTAAGGAAAATATCATTCACTGCCAACTAAGAAATAAATCTAGTAATCTCAAATAATCATCTTTTCCACCACTACCTATCTGAATCAAAAATATGTCCAAAATGCAATTCATCGGATGAAGATAACTCCCATTTCTTCTTCTCTTGTCCATCTTATTCAGCTATCAGAATCGAACTATTAAATTCATTAAAGGTATTCACAGAAACTATTAATCTAGATCTAATTTTAAATGGCTCTACATATCTTTCGGTTACATCTAATATTTTGATTTTTGAAGCAGTCCATAATTTTATTAAAAGTACCAAAAGGTTTTTATTCGCTTTTACATATTGTTGTATAATATCAAATAATTGCATCAACTATATTTCGTATATGTCATTTCCACATGAAACTGTATATAAGTTCGGTTTTACAAATTATTATATTTAATCTTATTTTTATGTATATGTTTATATTTATCGTTTATTATTTTCTGTATCCCTGGGAAAGAACTTATATAGGCTGTGCCTGTTGTTCAATCCTTTTCAAATGAATAAAATATTGTTTAAACTAACTATGTGTTATTTATCTCAACATTGGCTTTAAATGTAGACCAACACCCAGTTCGCATACAAAATCGAAGCATCATATTATTTAGTTAAATCAACACTTTATAACATTTTACCCAAATCAAAGAAAGGGAAGGCCAGCTCATTAGTTTAGATTAACTATTATTACATGTAACGGCTTCAATAAAAAAAAAACTGCCTGTATATGTACGATTGTGCAGAACAGACTTTGGTTTCCATGACTTTGCGTGTGATTATTTAAAATATTTCAATAGTATGATAATACGTATAATGAATCTATTCTTAGCTTATAATGACTGTGTGTAATTTAATATTTACAGTTAGGAGCATGTCAAACATTTCAAACACAAACTAAATAACTTCCTACAAGATCTCAACGGTGGCTAATTATGAATATAACCGTATGCTGACTGTGTCAGGTAATTGTAAAACTTTATTAAAACTTAATATACATTTACAAAATGAAACGTGGGTTTACATATGGAAGTTCTTAGGAACAATACTATTCTGCAGAATAGATTCTCCATGACTGTACATAACAAATATAGGAACAATACCATTCTGCAGTATAGATTATCCATGACTGTACAGTGTACATAACAAATATATTTACCTCACCTAAATAAACATACGTTATGCAAGATCTAACTCTGTCTATTGCAGGTCTTTCTTTGGGCCTGAAATGTTATATAAACTATTAATTAGACATTTATATAAAGTTTGTCTGCAATATCACCTCGGTGGAAGCGGACGTAAAATACAACTAACAAACACACACACATTTATTTACATGAAAATACCCTAAAAAAAACTCTCGATGCCATCTTATGTGTTGAATTTTCGCTGGATTTGAATCCGATTTGCGCTCATTGATGATTTAATCCAAAATCTGGATAATCGAGACTATGTTTCTTATCGCTCTGATTGAGTTAGGCCTAAAATTCAAACGCTAATATCTCCGAGTCGAGAAATGTGACTGGAATTTTCAGCATATTCCCTTTACATTATCTGTTTTTAACTATTCTAGTGAAAACGGCCAGCTCTTTATCTAATCTTCCTTAATGCCCTTTTAATTTAATAATACTGAAAATGCTGCCTGTCATGCGACTAGAAATGTAAATATTTGTTTATTTAACTGTGGCACCATGCAAGAACCTGATAACCCACATTTTTCCCAAAATTGAGATAAGGGTGCCATTGAACGTAGATGTTAGTATCCATCTTGACTGTAATTATGAAGACACTGTGAATATATTTGATATGATAACCAAGTCTATAATAGCTTTAACCTGATATAAAAATAAGCATATTCCATGCCAAAACCTGATAAGCCTCAGAAGATCTGATTTGTGTGCCAATGTTTCCATGCAAGAACCTGATTACCCACAAGTCACACCCAAGGTCATTTATCTCGGGTTGGTTCCTTTCGATATTCGCGCATATCGGATCGTAACTTCATAGATTATGGCCCCCAGGCCCGTAACTAAGTTTAGTCATTTCAGGACTAACACATGGTTCAATTTTATTTCTATAATTCGCTTGCGCGTAGGGGTCTTTAGCAGTGGGAGTAAACCGGAGGACCCGGAGAAAACCCACGAGGTTGGACAGGCGACCCTACTCCTTGTCACGTACAACCGGAGAATCGAAACCCCGCCAGTTGACTCAATAACAGACCTTATGATACAGCGCGTACGTGCTAACCATTCGGCCATCCAACCCCCCAAAATGGCTGCAAATAGTGTAAAAGTATGTAATACCAAGGTTGTGGTCCCTCTAGAAGTCACATTTCTTATTCGATCTTGATGAAACTTAAAATATATGTTTATATTAAAACGATTTCGGTATCTGTCGATATTTGAATATATCGGACCATGACTTCCTGGGTTATGGCCTCCGATTGTATGAAAAATCACGTTTTTAGCTTGTGGACCCTCTAGAGGTCAAAATTTTTATCCAATTTAAAACGGTTTAAATATATCACTGTTACCATAATGATGAGTTTGAATTTCGTGAAAACTGCCAGACAAAATTGCTACTACTTGTACGCAAATAGTGTAAAAGTATGTAATACCAAGTTTGTGGAATGTGGACCCTCTAGAAGTCACAATTTTTATCTGATATTGATGAAATTTGACATGTATGTTTATATCCAACAAAAAAAATCTTGGTTCCTTTTGATATTATATTGGACCGTAAGTTCCTGGATTTTGGTCACTGATTCTACAAATAAATCACATTTGTTTTAGTTTGTTCTCTGTATATCTCTTGCAAAATGTGGGCGTATCTTGCATGGTAACCGCTGGTTTAATTTTTGTAATTAATTATAATTGGTATTTTCATTGAGTCGAAAACTGAATGGAATCGAGTTTATGCAGGACTGAAAAAAATATTGTGGTTGGGCAAAATGGTTTTAGCAGCAGTAACTAGAAATTCATCATCAGGGTTTTTTGGGGTTTTTTTTCAATACCTCATTCATTCATTCATTCATTCACCCATATATATATATATATATGGGGGAGTGGCCTAATGTGTGCGCTTTAGATCATAAGGTCTGTCATTGAGTCAAATGACGTGGTTTCGATCCCAAGCTTGAACGTGACAAGGAATACCCAACCTTGTGGATTTTCTCCAGGTCCCCTGTTTTTCCCCCACTGTAATGATATAATTTAATAATTATATTGGTATTTTTTAATTGAATTCCATAATACGTTTTTTTTTTACAGTGATTAATAGTTGGTTGAAATGGAAATAACAACTGATGATCCAAATATAGACCGAGGAAAGGCCTGGATTATTTTAGTTTCATCTTTCTTTGGGATGTTCGTATTTGGAGCGTTTATGCACGGTACTGGAGTATATACTGCAGCTATTTTGGAGCACCTTACCACAGATATTTCCAAGGCTTCTTGGGTGGGGTCTACTCAGATAGCCATGATGCATGTACCGGGTAATATGCTTGATCACTTAACATATCTTTATTGTCATACTAATCCCTCGGCGAGAAGGGGTTTTTATTGGGGGGGGGGGGAGGCGGGGGGCATTTTAAAATAGTTACATGTTACCATGAAGCCATATTAATATTGGCCACAATATCAGTGCCTTGGTGGTGAGTGCTTCTTGGCTTTATTTATCAGTAGGGGCACTGAAGTCGCCAAAATGTTATTGAGTATAGAATGATAAATATTTGTAGCCTTGTGAAGCCTTGCTACAGGAGCCGAAGGCGAACAATACCAGTTGTCAATATGGCACCATTACTAAATCTTTAAACTAAGGCTTTTAATTTCTCTGGTAAATAATGACAATATATTAACTTTCACAAACGCTGGAGGCTCTACTCTACGGGTACATGGGACCTCAGTTTTCCGTACCATCCGAAAAAAGAGACCCGTTTAATTTCGTCTTGTTGGTTGTTTTCAAGCGTAACAACGCTAGAGTTATCTCTCTTATAATGTACTTCACAGTCGATATATAGTACGTCGGGTAGTAATATAGTCTTCAAAAAAAAGAAAAGTAGGGGATATTCAGAAATAATACAAAACTGCGGAAATGCACTGCTGTTTTTATTATAGGTAACGAGTGTATGTTAATAACAGGCCAATTGCCTACACATGAACATAAACAGTTCATATGGGCGGCTTATCTGACGGTCCCATTTCACTCGCAAAGAGATACACTGTCAAAAGTGAAAATGGACGTTTTTGATTTGTGTCTTAATAATGAGTAATTGCTCCACCAATCCTCAGACATTCAGCAATTCGTCGTGGCATGCTCCTAATCAACCGTCCAGTCACGATTTGGGGCAATCTGACTAACTCCTCTTGCAGTGCCACGGCCAATTCGTGCAATGTTGTCGGTTGACGTTGACGTCGACCAACACGTCTCTCGATCAAATTAAACGTAACACACTAAATCTTATGCAAGAACCGGTAGGAAAGCAAACGTGGATAGATAAATCAGCACGCGGCAGTTTTCATCAACTCTTCCTTGAAGTGTCAAATTTGACAATGAACCCCTCCCACGTGTATGGCGCTATTGCGTGTCGCATGTGCAGCTTAGTAGTTCTGTTGGGGCGATAAGTTCTTCATCTGTGAACATATTCTCAAAGCATGTCAAGTGTCCATGACTATTTATCATATCACAACCTGCATAGGTATTTGCATTTCAATATCCCCTACTTGTTTTGAAGAGTATATATATTGAAATGAAATGCGGTCTAACGTCCTACTGTTCTCCCCCGACTGTGATAATAGAGACGGGCATACGCCATACAGTGTGCTATGAGGGAAATTTTGCCCGGACAGCGGCACTACGGCTACTTTTATATCGAATTCCAACTGCCAAGGGAGCTTTTACGTGTACGCCAATGTGCTCATGGGACCTCGGTTTTTCGTACCATCCGAACGACTGTACGAATGACAAGGGGGGACCACGCCGGAAAATCACGATGAACTGCAGGGATCAAACAAGCGACCTCCTGGCTAGCGAGCCAACGCCCTACCCGCTGAGCCACCGTGGCTCAGTAATATATTGAGATTCTGGTTCATTCTTTACGTTTGCTTATCATAACAGTTTCAATGATATATGAAAAACGATATACACTTTGATTTATGTCAAAATAAAGTGTGCAATTAAGCTGCTCTGGTGTATTATTTTGATTCCTGATAATATGACAAAATCTATATGTTTAAATTTTCGTATTTAAATACCAAGGGTGGGGTCGGTCATTTGCTTATTAGTTTCGTTTTTGGCTTAAATTGCTATTAATCGAATACAAAATCAGCTAAATACCACAATGCTGGCTATATCTCTTCTATATCTGGCTATATCTGTGAACCAAAATTTTAAATGTAAACAGATACCCACTCAACAGAACAACTGAACTCATTATTGTTACCCAAATCAAATGAGTCTGATCAGAGGGGACTGTTGTCAAAATAGCTTATTTGTGACAAGTATTGTAAAATTCAGTCTGTTTCTTTAGGTCCTCTTTGTGGAATCATTACAAGTCAACTTGGTTGCGGACGAACAACGTTTCTGGCAGGGATTATCATTCTTGTTGGAATGATTGGTGCTTACTTGAGCACGAGTGTAACTGGACTTACACTTACAGCCGGTGTCATTGCTGGTATTAATTATTTATTTATTTTATCCACCCAATATCAAACATGAATATACTATTTCCAAAATCAATTCTAAATACTTTTCAATCTGATTACAATCAGAGGTCAATTTCGTTTTGTTTACTTGTGACGTTGGGCGTGAGCGACGGTGGCTCAGTAACTTACTCCTAAGTCTCCGTGACTCCCTAACCAGTCGATATTCGGGTTTTGCTAGCCTGATTTCCCCGTTAATGATGCAGGGTGGAGTGTCTGGCAAAGAAAATCTTCTAAATGGGACGAATAACCGAGATCCTTGTATACCCTAGGTCTCAACACACTGCTCATCTTCACAGGGCGAGTAATAAAGCAAAACAATAAATGTCATTTCATTTCTGATGTCGTAGTACATTGGCATGTGACATATTTGCTTTTTTAGCTCAACGTTCAAATCAAGTGGGCTAATTGAACAGAGAAATTATCTCTAGTGTGATATTCGGCCGTGTAACCACATGGTGGATATGAGATATAAAACCCAACGTAGATTAAAAATACTTTTGTTATTTTGTTTTAATATAGAAAGCTTTAAAGTTCAGCAATGAATTATAACAAAAAAGTTGTTCAGTTTTAAATACGTCATAGATAATATTTTATAATTGTATCTAACATCACAGTACATTTTCTCGTATTTGTAGGTTTCGGAATTGGGCTGGTGCTAAACACATCAAATACCATAGTGGGCCATTATTTCATTAAAAGAAGAGTCTTGGCGTCAGCCATTGCTATGTCGGGTAGTGGAATGGGACTGCTGGTTACCGGTGTCATGGTACAGTTACTCACAGACAAATATGGTGTACAAGGAGCTTATCTGATCCAAGGTGCTTTCGGATTCAATGCTTGTGTTTTGGGGTACTTAATGAAGCCGTCAGCAATCGAACGCAATAAAAGCAACAGGGATATTACAGCGTGGAAATCTATTGTGCAAATCGTCATAAAATATCGCGATATTGTAACAAATGTCTCTTACATGAGCTATTTGATGAGCTTTGGCTGTTTATATGTTGCAGAAAATATTGCTGTGGTGCACCTAGCAAATTACGTTATCTACAAGGGATCAACTACTTATCAAGCCGCCTCTTTATTCACCGTAAAAGGACTTGGTAGTTTGTCTGGTAGGCTTTTAATGGGTGTCGTAGCAAGTGACCCAAGAATTAAACCCGAAATCTTACACACAAGCATCATGGGTGTCCTCGGATCCATATATACCGTATTTCCTGTGTACTCCGATAAGTATGGACTACAGCTGATATTTGCGTTGGCTTGTGGACTGTATAGTGGTGCCCTGGACAGTCTGATCACGCCCATATCAGTCGATTACGTCGGAGTTACAAACCTGGCTTATTGCTATGGACTCTTGGCTCTTCTTATTGGAATTTCAGCTGTTATCGGACCACCTCTAGCTGGTAAGTATAGATGTTTGAGCTGTAGTTTGTGGTTTTGCATTTTAAACAACTGGGTTAGCGGCTTCGTTATGACCAATGGTCCTTCTTTCTAGTGGCTTTGAATTTTAAAGCTAAAGTTCAAACTATTGACCCATTGACATGTGCCGTGCTCGGGGAAGTTTTGTCTGATACCGCTTCTTGTTTGTGTAGTTCACATAAATTGCCCCCCAAAAAACGTTTGTTTTGCGGTACTTGTTTCGCCGGGGGATCACGGTAGCTAAGTGGGTAAGACGCTTGCTCGCTAGCCTGGAGGTCGGGTGTTCGATCCCTGCATTGGCCGAGAAAGTTCATCCAGATTTTCCGGCGTGGTTCCCCCTTGTCAGTGATGCAGGACGGAGGGCCTGACAAGGGCAGCTGTCTAGTCGTTCGGATGGGACGAAAAACCGAGGTCCCGTGTACACATTGGCGTGCACGTAAAAGATCCCTTGACGTTGAAATTCGATATAAGAGTTGGCCGTAGTGCCGCTGCCCGGGCAATATTTCCCTCATAGCACACTGTATGGCGTATGCCCGTCTTCATTAGCCCAGTTCGGAGCAGAACAGTAGGACGTTAAACCCCATTTCATTTCATTTCATTTCACCTGTTTCACCGCATAGACAACCATTGAGTCTAGCTTTCAGGGCGTCATTGTTAGGAGGGGGCCAATATGTGAGATAAATTGAACGAAGTATTAGAAACATATTTTTTAACTCGACAAAAATATAAATTATTGTGTCATAAATGACCCCCACTTCCTGTAAGATAGGTAATCTGTGAAAATTAATCAAGTAGATATTTTGATTAAGTCCGTTGGGATTTTGTATTTATTTATATGCTAAAGATTGGAGTTAACTGTGTTCGTCAGTGATAATCATTGCGTTACAGAAGTAAAGTCTTCGGGCTATTATTATTAAAAGGCATGTATAATGTATAGAAATTTAATGTTCATGAATTCAATTATAACCATCTAAGGAATTGTGAACACTTTAACTTCTTTTATATAAAATGTCAAGAGTTATCCCTTGGTTGTTATACAGAAGCGCAAAGATTTTCTAATTAAAACTTTAGTTTATTTCTTTGCTCTTTGAATATTAATCGAACTTACTTGCTAATACATGTACTGATCCTTCCTCCACCTCAAAGACATGAAATGTAAATTCAAACTCCTTACTCCGAATTTACACCAGCAAGTCAACGAAAGTTGCCATGTAAAAGGTGGAAAAGGGAAAGAAAGATTATAAATAGAAAGAACTACATGGATACTTCTAAATTCCCATTTTTCTAAAGTTATCAGAACAATGTCGTACGGGTTGGTGGCATATAACAGTTTTTAAAATTACTTAGATTGTTGTTAAAATTTGCTAAATCAAATTGTGTGACACTGCCATCATATTTTTAGCTGCATGCCCCCATCCCTAAACACCATTATCTAGTGATAGCGTGTACAAGGCCTGGTATATTCTTTGGAAATTTGGTACCACTTCCGTTTTGGTTTTGTTCTTTTGATAAGCAACTGACCATTGTTCATCATGTGAATTATAGTAATTAAATAATCCCAACACCATAAGTCCATCGTTGTTCTTGTCAGCTATTTTAGGACAGTGAGATGGCCTAGACCGTTAATTCCGATCGTAATCTACATGTTCAAGGATTAAATATGTTAAATCCACCCTCCTTTGAATACTTTTTTACTTAGTCAAAGGTTGACTGAATATAAAGTAGAATCATCATGTAAATTGATTTTCAGCTTCTTGAAATTCGCTGACTTCATTACAGTGATGTACAACAGTTCAACCAGATTCTGTCCGTTTGCACGATCAGTAAACACGTTGTCTGATAACATAAAAAAAAGTAAAGAAATCATTTTGGTAATCTGCCATAGTCTGTACTAAAAGATGCTTTTTTTAAAGAATTTTGAAAAATGGCGATTTTTTTCAGATTTCTGATGTTTTGTTTGTTTTTATCCCACGCCGAACAAAGTTAGGGAGGAATATTAAAATAGGGTCCGTCCTTCTGTCAGTCCGTCGGTCCGTCCGTCCCGATTTCATTTTCGGAGCATATCTCATAATCAGTTCAAGATATCTTTCTGAAACTTTGACGTCGGGAAACTTTGTACAAACATTAACCTGTTATAGCAGTTTTACCTTTTGCTAATTTGGAATTTCTGGGATTTAATATGATTTTGTGTTTCCATGGAAAGAAATTTGACTTTTTGGTGTTCAATTTTCTTTCTGGGTCGTATCTCAAAAACCATTCAAGATATCTTCATGAAACTTTGTACAAGCACTCAACCTGTTAAAGTAGTTGTGTCTGATGTATAAGCTTACTGTTTAACATACAGCAGCTGATTGAGGTAGTCAATCGTTATTGTACAAACCTTCAAAGAAGTTGTTTTTCCTTATGCCTTCCAAACAAGTGCAAGGGCGCGGGATTGTGATGACTAGTCATTTTGTTTAATTTTACAATTTCTTTATAAATTAATTTAAGCAATACTTGGACGCTACCTTTTTAGTTCATTGGGCCCAGATATTCGTCAGCTTAATAACTTGAACTAAGAAATTTATCGCTTTATTTGTTTGACAAGAAAAATGTATTTTATCGGTCTGTTCAGACTGGGAAGCGAGTTCCCGTGTATAAATTACTGATGCACGTAAAATATTCCATATACGCATACAAATTAAAAGATGACCAAATGGGCTATGTTCGCGAGACGTTAAACCTTAACTCTCTTTCGTTCCATCAAATCTTTTTACATTTGATTCCTTTCATATGCTGAACTTTTCTTTATGTGTACATGTATGGCCTTTCTTATGCTGATTTATTATTTATGTTGTTAGTGGTACATGTGTATATTTGTATTTTCAGCCACTCTGGTCAAAAGTGGCCTTTCATATGATATTTGTTTCATACTTGGAGGTAAGTAGAATATTAGAATACTACCATATATAAGTTTTGAAATTTAGTCGAATATTTTTTAGTTCAGTATACATACTTAATTTTGAAAAAAAAAGTGTGGGGATTGGGTGATCATGTTGTATTTTCCAGGATCTAGCATTGCAGTCGCTTATTGATGGTCAATCATTTGTGTCGAAGTTCATTAGTAAAATCATTAATATGAGACTCGAAAGTTCATTTTGTCATGGGGTGCTTAACTATCCCCAGATGTATGTCCAATTTAAGGGGGGGGGGCTGAATGGTTAGCACGTGCGCGCTGTGCCGTAAAGTCTGTCATTGAGTCAACTGGCGTGGTTTCGAATCCCCGGTTGTACGTGGCAAGGAGAAGGGTCGCCTGTCCAACCTCGTGGGTTTTCTCCGGGTCCTCCTGTTTCCTCCCACTGCTAAAGACCCCTACGCGCAAGCGAATTATTGAAATAAAATTAAACCATATGTTAGTCCCGAAATGACCTAGTTTGTGTCGAGTGGACGTTAAACCCCATTTCTCTCTCTCTCCCTCTCTCTGTGTCCAATTTAGTGTATTATCCAGTAGCCATTAAGCAACAATTTTAACCATTTTCGTGGAAAGATTTTCTATAGGACGAAAGAAGAAATATTAGTTATATAACAAGCAGGTCTGATAGTAAGATTAAATAAATATGTTTTTCAATTTTTGTAAAGGTGGTGCGTTTTGGTTGGGCTGTTGTCTAGGATTTGGGATGATGTTAACCAAACCAAAGAATAACAACGTGGATATGGAAAGAAGAAGAGAAAAAGAACAAACACAAGATCTGGAACTGACACTATCTGTACCAGGAATGCATGACAGTGCTATTGATGCACTTACCACAGAAGAAACGAATAAATGAAAAATGAATCTCTATCGTTCATAGCAAAATGAGATAAAATATTAACTTTCTTATGTGACAACATTTTATGTTTAAAATATTGCCAAGTGGACGTTCATCCATCTGTTCTGTCCTTATTTGGAGAAAATGTCTAAATTGGCCCCTCCGTTTCAACATTCTGGATACACGCTATCAACGAATCGTTCAAGACCAATTTTGTTCAAATCTACCATACTGTTTTTCAAGTCCTGCTCATATTGAGCGGAGCAATAATATTTTAACCAACGGGTATAATAAATATTAAATACAAGAACATAATGTAAATGGGGTGTTTAATTAGAGAGTCGCATATTACTCCTTGGTCTCGATTCTTACTGTCTATCTTCGAAGGACAAACGTCCAATGGCCAACTGAATGCATGAAACTGTCTAACGTATGTCATATATCATTGGAGTCAATTGATATTAATTCCATGGTTAGGCCTACTTATACTTATGTGACAGTTAATAGGATCGCTGCTAAACCTCGTGTGTTTAGCTGTTTCCAACTACTGTACTGTCGTACTGATAAAGATCCGTATGGTATGACCAAGCCTCTCTCTCTCTTCATCCCCCACCCCCAAGTATCAGGCTGGTTGAAATAATAACGGTAGTCATTTGACTCCCATTCATCTCATTTGCCACTTCCAGCTTTCTTAATGTTAACGAGTCTCGCCAATAATCTAAATTTAGTAACTTGTTGGCGGAAATATGGTTACTTCCGAATTAACTATGAAGGAATTTAATTGAATATCGGTTAAAGACATGAAAAGCTACTGTCTGCTCTTCGCCTTTAGCAAAACTATGACGTCAGATTCCTATGCATTTTCACTTCTGGTTCGATAATATAAAAAAATAAACGACTGTGGAAAGGCAAAAAGTGTGGACATGATAGGGATCTGTTTTTCTCTTGTGTGGGAGCCCCGAGGCAAGTCGCCCAACAAAGCCCTTTTAATCCACCCCGTCTCTCTTTTGTAAAACATAAATTATTTTTTCTGGTCAAAATATCGACAGATAAGGAAAATAAAAATAAGACTTTATCTGTCAGAAACACGTGTTAATTGATTAAGTTTAGAATAATTCTGTTTGATCTTCGTTCAGTAACAGAATGAGATAACCAGTGTGTAGAAATAATTGTACACTTGTCCAAAGCCGCAACTCGGCATGGTACGTCTATTGACCACGTCCTATAGACACAAAGATTTTGCTTGAGCATTAACATCCAAATGATTTGAAGATTTTAAAATAAATTTTAAGCAGCTGCATTGTTTTTACAATAGCCGTTTGTATTCGACTTTATAGCTACCAAGAAATTACAATGCATTACATTCAGATAAAATTGGTTTGACATAATCAGTAATTATCTGTGAGTAAGGGAGTGCATTCGTGATAACAGCAACTAAAGATTTTTTGAATCCCCCTTAAATCCAGTTTTTCGTTGGCCTAAAACTTAAATAATAAAGAAAACTACATTTCAGTAGATTTTGATATTATAATTTACTAATATTCAACGTTTTGTTCCTTAATAATTAATTTGGGAATCCAGTCCTGATGACGGGAACTAAGTGTCTTTCAAATCCCATTAAATCTATCTTTTTCGTTGACCTAAAAGTTTAGCTTTAAATAATTAAAAAATATATATTGTGTGCTTACTGCCCTTTGAATCTATATATTTGGGTAAAATAAGTTTTGTGGGTCAAGAAGATGGCATAATTATGCAAGATGATACGTAAAGTGTAAAATATAATTAACTTGTAACCCAAATACTCGTGATAACCATTAACTATTTTCAACACATATTTTTTGTACACCTTTCAATGTTTAATTAAAGTCTGGAATCTTTGAAATTTGTACATCGTCTCTTCAAGATAACGTGACTTTAACAATTCACCTCAAAACTGGATAGCAAATAAGGGAATTCGTTTTAAAAGGTGTAAACAAAAGTAAAAGAGTTAATCAGCCCGTCTATTGGTGACACAGACAAGTGCCCCAAATATAGGTTAAGCTTAAATGTACCAACAAAAAGATTTATGACAAATCTAAATACTGAATTGTAAATGCGGTTATTTTAGTTACTAAAAATATATTTTAAATTATGAAAGCACAAACAATTTTAAGTTTATTTTAAAGAGTGTGGACACTCAAAATTTCTCTCAATATTCAAATATAATTATGGTAGAAATACCCATTTTTTATACGCCCACGTGGAAATGTGGTCGTATATTGTCGTCGCCCTCGTCCGTCCGTCCGGACGTCTGTCGGTCCGTCGTCCACATTGCTTGTGGGCGCTCTAGAGGCCTAAGTTAATATTCGATTGACATTAAATTTTTACACACTGTTTAAGGTCATGCGACGATGAACCCTGTTGATATTCAATGAATTCCGATAATTACTGACAGTGTTATAGTCCTTGATCACTTTGAAAAATCTTGGATGCTTCAGAGACCATAGTTGTCATCTGATTGATTTTATATTTATACACCGTGTTTACGCCTACATATAACCGTTTCGGTTGACTTTAGATCTTTAGATTGAGACGAACAATTATATTAATTTATTTTCAATGATTTTTGGTAACTTGAACAGCCAGATCCATGATATTAAATGTTTTGTATACAAAACGTTAGCATGGGCCAAACAAATTTTAATGATTTTCTGATAATTACTTAATGAGTTGTTACTCTTAATCAGATTTTAGTATATTATAAATGTTTCATTACCGACAAAAGTAAAAATATGCCATAACTCTTGTTGACTACCCGGACGATTTAACTGCTGTGGGCGTATGTTTCGTTGCCTGGCAACCTATTTTCAGGATAAATTTAATCTTCTGTTGCGTCTGGTGATAAAAAACATAAAGAAATTTCTAGTCTTTTATCAAGTCTAAAGATCTCTCCTAAACTTTTCAGCGCAGTCTCGATTGATTTCTCACCGACGATAAATCTCATGTTTTCATCTTGTTGTCCTTTAATAACTTAATTGTTTGGGAAATCCTGTCTTATTGTGGGATACAGAAAGGAAAACGTCCATTATTTAAAATGTTAACAACAGAATCTTCATTTTATCCGTACACAGTCGTGCCAGTATATTTCAGGAAACTTCTACTGATACCAGTACCCTTTTCGTAAATTTAGAGCTCCCATTATTTAAAATGTTAACAACAGAATCTTCATTTTATCCGTACACAGTCATGCCAGTATATTTCAGGAAACTTCTACTGATACCAGTACCCTTTTCGTAAATTTAGAGCTCCCATACCAAGAAGGTGTTTGTCTTTGTTCTTGTAGTCCCTCAGTACGAGGCCATCTTGAGAAAGAAGTCTATGATGATAATATTTACTTGTTTTCTTTTTTATAAAACGTCCCATCTCGCCTGGATATTTTAATTCGTTCAATAGTTTTCAGATTATATTCTGAACAAATTCAAAGACATGTTTTGGGCGCTGTGACTTATAAATTACCCCTGAAATGGCTGTCATTTCCTATAGGCGCAATGAGTGTTGTTCTGCACATGCAGACTTAGACCTGTCACTGCCAAGTTTCCTGTATTAAGAACCCGTTGAGACCTGCACAACCCAAGGATTATTTATGGTGAATTTATCATCGACGAATCATCATTGTTCTGCTGTGAAATATGCAGCCTGATCACTGACATTTGTTCGGTTATGCGCTTTCGACAGGCAATCCATCCCCCACAAACGCGACTACTAATTACTAAATCGGCCGGTATACGTGTACACTAACTATGAACTGAGCGAATGGTCGACTTCTCTCCCATGAGCTCTATCAGAACTGTTGAAAACCATGTTGAACACAACTGAAAAACATCCTATAATAGTCATAACAATATGGGGTGGTTGGATGGCCAAATGGTTAGGACGTGCGCGCTGTATCATAAGGGCTGTCATTGAGTCAACTGGCGTTGCAATTTGCAAACATGACGTTTCCGTTTTCAAACGATGTAAGAAAACTGATAATGTTAATAAAATGAAATGGGGTATAATGGCATAATTTTCTGGACCAACTGGGAGAATGAATACGGACATACGCCATTCAGTGTGCTTAATCGAACCTCTCTACTTCGTCACATGTGGTTGTATAGATCATATTATTTTGTCAGTTCCTGTGCCCTGCTCCGCTGGCAAGCGAAAACCAGACTGGAAAATCCCGTGGGCTTTCTCAACCGAAACCGGTGTCGAATCTGAGACCTTCAGTTAGTGAGCCACTGACTTAATCACTGAACCACAGTGGCTCCAATAAAGTCAGTAATGGGTATAAATAGGTCATGTGGAAAGTTTCCTTTCATTGTATTATGTTGAATACTTTTTAGACAATCTTGTTTGGGTATATCTGATTGGGTTTTTATACAGTTTGATTTCTGAACGACATGAATTATATTATATTGACCGTATTAAAAATATATACCTTCCCCATAACCAAATGATTAGAACTAGGCGACACGAACAGAACGCCAGACATAGCTTTTGTTTTACAAGTCTAGTTAAAGCGGCATTACTTAAGATTATATAAGGAGCTGGCAGTTCTCGCTATAATAGTTTTAAAAAAAATAGATAATGAAAAGAGAATATGATGACAATTTCAGTCAAATTACTTCACTCTGCACAAAGGAAACGGCGATACAATTATAGGCTATCCCAGATTATCCATTTTTACGGTATCCACATTCAGCACAAAATCTATTTGAATCCACTAAATATCGCAGACATCCAATGGAATCGGGAGTTGATTATGATCTTGGTTAGTTAATCTATGTCTAATAGACAACATTTCGGGCCTAAAGAAAGACCCGTAATAGCCAGATTTAGCTCTTACATAATGCATGTTTAAGTCATCCCTTTTGGGAACGGTTGTACTACTGCGAAATATATCTTTCCCAAAAAAGATTTGCATCACACGATTCCATTAAAAATCGCACATGTTGGAATTTCGGCGGGAAAGTCTGAGGCAGGAGTTAGATAGTATGTTATTTATTACGATCAATAAAAGACCATG